CCCACTGCACAAACACAATGGATTTGAGCCCCTAGAGCGTTTAGAGCTGCTCCATTAATGGCCAGTCGATGTGTTTGCACTTGAACGCGCATCGCCTAAACAGCGGATAGGATTAAACCTATAATGGAAATGGTTACACCACCCTCAAATGAGCAATTGTGTGTGTTGATACAAAGTATTATGAATAGGAAATGAACTAACAGATCAATTGCAAGCAAATGATTTGTGTAAAGACCGATTATTTGCTTTCAAGTTATTTTCAAGTTCGCTTATCACCCGTCTTTTGAAACACTACAATCAGTTAATCGGTTTATTCATAGAAAACCCGAAAACATGATGATACAATTTTTATCTACGAGTATAAAAAGAAAACTAATTCCATATGGTACTGTATTATCTACAATTTTTAATGTTTTTTAATGGGGGCTTATTTGATAATTTGAAATATCTAAGGACGTCACAATAGTACTCTATACTCTACACTATAAATTTATAGTTATATTAAATTATATGAGAGACATAATACAAATTCAGACCACTAATAAGCCTCTCTATCCATCTCTTTTTTGCAGATAGCGCAACCTATGTGGGCAACACCCTGCGCATCAAGTCGGTGAAGAAGGAGGACCGCGGCACCTACTACTGCGTGGCTGACAATGGAGTGAGCAAGGGCGACCGGCGCAACATCAACGTGGAGGTGGAATTCGCCCCAGTGATCACCGTGCCACGTCCGCGACTGGGACAGGCGCTGCAGTACGACATGGATCTGGAGTGCCACATCGAGGCCTATCCGCCACCGGCCATCGTGTGGACCAAGGACGACATCCAGCTGGCCAACAACCAGCACTACAGCATCTCGCACTTTGCCACCGCCGACGAGTACACCGACTCGACGCTCCGCGTGATCACCATCGAGAAGCGCCAGTACGGTGATTATGTGTGCAAGGCCACCAATCGCTTTGGAGAGGCGGAGGCGCGCGTCAATCTCTTCGAGACGATCATCCCCGTGTGCCCACCTGCCTGCGGACAGGCGTACTTCGCCGGTGCCGAGGATGTGGCCGCCACCTCGTTCGCCCTGGTGGGCATCCTTGCGGCGCTGCTCTTCGCCAGATAAGCCACACACTCCAAGCGCTCCAAGTCCAAACCATCAACCAGCCCTCGAATGCATAAACATATATAAAATAGATATATCGAAAATCACATCGTATAACCGCGCAATAGACGTCTCAAATGTTTCCGGCTACTTACCCATCCCCAGTACTCATTTCGTTTTGTAGCTTCTGACACCGTTTCCGTTTAGTCCAGCCCAATTTTCGTACGTCCAATATTATGTCTTAAGTTAAGTATGCTAAGTGAAGGGCCAACGAAAACTAGAACCATAATTTATTAGCACCCTAGAGCCAAACTCAATTCGAAATTAGAATCCTACGCAATCACCTCGATCCCGTCCGTTTTGCTTTCTGATCTGGCACTGTATATGTTTTAAATATTTTAATCTAAGCAGGATACATCACAAGCATTCCGATTTTGCTTCGACATCTGAGAATATTTTATTTTTATTTAATAAATAATAAAGTATTTTCGTTACGCAGACATGACAACTCGACAAACTATCCCACAGAACTAGATGAACCCCCATAATCGAGGCAAAATCCATATTCGAATAAAAGGCAACAAAAGTTGTGTACATTATTAGCTCTTAAGCTCAATGAGAAATTCTTTTGAATAACAAGACAATTTTACCCAAATTTTTGTGTGGGTGCGAGTAAAATCCATTTCGACTTTGTAATAAAAAAAACGACAAAACACAAAACTAAAACGAACAAAAAAATCAATAAAAATATTAAAAAACAAAAGACTCTTTCAGTTTCTAACAAGGAATCCATTTAGTTTTAAGGGGTGTAAATGAGAACGATCAAATATTCGTGATATAAATAACAGGATTAATTAGGTGGTGCCCTCATGGAACCTCCATTGGTGGCCATGCGATAATACAGATTGAACTCGGACTCGTAATCTCCAAAGCTGCCGTTGTTGTATCTTTTACCAGGGGGAACATAGCGCCGCAAAGGATTCTCGAGCAGGAAGTGGTAGATGCGCTCGGCCTTTTCCAGTTGCAGCTGCGTCTTCACCCCAATGGCCATCAGGTTGTCCAGCAATTGGTCAATTTCCTCGTGCTGACGATTCGCCTTCAGCCTTAAATCGTGCGGATCAACTGGAGGGAAGGGAGATTTTATCCCAGTCAGGCGGATATGAGACAAAATGTCTGAGTTGAGCTTACCAATTAACGGCTGCAAATTCAATTTCATGTCAGTCGTGTGTGCGGCAATTGCCGACGCCCACAAAATGCGTTTGCGGACTTCCTGCAGAGCGCCGAAGGGTGTAAGCAAATAGCCGGGCGCCAGTTGAACGGTGGAGGCCAGCTCCTGGGCCTCGACGATGAGCGGATTGGCCGACAACAGGAAGGAGCTGTCCGATAGAAAAACGAACTCTTGATTAATTGAAAATATCCTCATGGATGGGGGATATGGGCTTACCAAGCGCGTGGCATGCAGCTCAACTTTTCCAGCGGTATTTCCAAAAAGGTATTCAGTTCCAGTAGGTGCGAGGGTACAGTGGTGCCGGAGGCAGTCATCATGGTGGTTGAGCCTGCTCCTCCCGGCATTATTGTTTTATTGTCGAAGCTGCGACGCATCGTTGCGTTCATTGTGCTGCAGTTTCCATCAAACTCCACCTTAGTGCTGGAGAACACACTATCGTTAGCCAGGCAGAAGCTCTCCGCACCCAGCATGGACATGGACATATTGCTGACCTTCAGTTTGGTGCTCATCAGCTGGGACTTGGCGTTCTGCTTCTGTGTGGCCGCCTGCATGTCGTCCAGCAGGTTCTTCATCATATTACGCGAGAAGAGGATCTTCTCCTTGATCTGCGACAACTGCACCATGTCCTGTTGGATGCGGTTTATGCTGGCATTGATGTCGCCGTACACCTGTTTTACGGAACTGAGCTTGAGATCATGGTTCTCCAGCTGCCTGGCGCCTGCATCCAATTCCAGACGCAGCAGCTCGATTTGCTCGCGCAGGAACTCGTTCTGGGCGCGATTAAAGTTGCGCATGTTGTACTGCACCAGATAGTCGATGATCAGTTCGTCGGCGTTTTCTTCGTCGCCGTCACTGATGCCGTTGAAGTTGTACACCTTCGTTTGCAGCTTGTCCACAAAAACGGTGTAGTCCTGGCAGAAGCGTTCCTCCTTCTGTTCCAGCTCCTTTTGAGCGCCAAAGTATTTGGCCGCCAGACCTAGCATATCGGCCTTGGTCTTCAGCAGCTTCACCTCGTAGTTATTCAGCGGAGGCTTGGTTGTGGTTCTATTTTCCCTGGTTTTATTTAGGTGCATTATGTGCTGCAGTTGCTCCTCTTTGATCTTCATTATGACGTTCAGGAGCAGGGCGTTGGGTATGTCGGCAAAGGTGCTCCGCATCTCGTCCCACAGACGCTGCTTGGCATCGGCCAAACTGCTGCCCTCATCGCACATCCCGTAGAAGGTCTCCAGCTGCTTAAGAGCCTGCTCCACGGCCCGGGTGGCCTGCACCTCACTGGCATTTTTGGCAGTCAGCTTAACGGGCGTGGTGGCCAGGATCTGGGCCTTGTTCTGCAGCTCCTGGTCGTAGCTCTTGTTCAGCGCTTCCAGCTTCAGGTCGAGGATATTGCATTTGGATTCAAGCAGTTGCTTTCGGTTCTCCGCACTAATGGTTTGAATGTCTGTGGGGGATTGAGGACAGCGAATTAGGTGGGTGCTCTTCTAGGCGGTGTTTCATTTACCCACTCTTGGTCTTGATGCTGGCGGCTAGTTTTTGGTACTCCTTCCTAGCCTCCGCCAGCTGCAGATCGGCCTTTTCCTTGTGCTTCTTCAGCTCCTGCATCTTGTGGTACCTCTGGAGCTCCGGTGGCTGGAAACTCCGGGAAGCCAGCGGCACCATCTTGTCCTTGTGACGGGCCACTTGGGCAATCAGCAGGTTCTCGCGCACCTCCCGCACATATTCCACCGTCTGGATGCGGGACTGCAGCTGCTGGAGAAGCATACTGGATCCGGATTTGAAGATCCTTTCAAAAAATTGCGGATTTTGGCCATTGTTAGTTTGGGATTTCCTTATTTGTATTCTAATTTACCTCCGTAGTACATCGTCGGTGGGCAGTTCGGTGGGCGGGCATCCTAGGCTGGTGGCCCAGTTCTTGAATTCGGTTATTTTCTCCTGGTAAGCCATGATTGGCAATAAATTTTTTTTTTCGCAAAAGGGCGCAGTTGTTTAAACCGGGCATTCACCAACACAAACAACTCGGACAGGGTTGCCTATGCACTGCGAGCTGTAGCAAGTTGGCAGTCCCCATAACGGAAATTTAAATTCAAACTGTCAACAAATATTACTGTTGTTTTTAAGTTTTTCTTTATTAAAATGCTTTCTTTGGATTTTAACAAATAACTTAAACTTTATTGCATAATTAGTGGCATGCTTAAGTTTAAATTAATGATTATTTAAACTCAATTCTTATTGTGGAACCACTGATCCATAAATGAAAATAACTTGTTTAAATAAATTTGAAAATAAATATCAACGAGTTTATATATATGTGTGTATTCACTCAACTACATGGCTTCTTTTTACCTAATTGTTTTATTTTATTTTAATTTTCCCGTTGCCTTCTACCAGTGCCGGAAAATGCTTTGTTGCCCGGTAATCAGCTGTAAGTGAGTGTAGCTAAATAGCTATTTGGTCGCCATAAAATAGCTTTTTTATCGCTATAACGCATACGCATATAAACATTTAAATTAAATTAAATCAGTTAAGTAGGATAAAATCTACATTTTTAAATTAAACAACATAATCTATAATCTAATTATAATTGATTAAAATGCCTTCTTAATACACATTTATAATGTATCTATTAAATAGCTATATTTCGCAGAACTGCCATAGCGATTCGCACTGATCAGTGTTGGGAAACATCCGCTGTCTTTTGAGCGGCGCACGTGGAGCAAACTCAAAGTGCTCACGTTTTATTTTAAATTCTGCTCCAAAAAACCGAATTAATTAAGTTAAAACCATGGGTCGCAAAGCTGAGTACAGTGAGAAACCTAAAAAGGGTCCTGGCCGCAAGGCGCGCAAGCAGGGAGCGCCCGTTTTTCGCAAACAATCGTTTGGTAAGTGAAGATTTCCCTCAACGATTCCAAGTGTTAATCTCAAATGTTTAACTCCACAGCTCCCATGGAGGAGGAGGACAAGAAGCTCTCCCACCGACAGAAGCAGCGATCCGTGAAGCGAGAGCAGAAAAAGGTTGTCCAAAAAGCCAAACTGCTGGAGAAACGGGCGAAGGGAAAACAGCCACAACCGGTTAAGCGGAAGACAGCTTACAATAGCGACAGCGAGCCGGAGGATGAGGAGGAGGTGCAGGAGCAGGAGGCTTCCTCCGATGAGGAAGTGCCCCAGCTGGTGCCGGCTCCCAAGACCCAGAAGTCCACGGCTCCCAAGGGCTTTACAGATGATAACGATGCATGGTTGAAGCCCAAACAGCAGAAGAAGCCAGCGAAAAAACCAGAAAGTGAGTCCGAAGAGGAGGAGGAGGATGAGGACTTGGAGGAGGACTCCGAAGCTGAGCTGGAAGACGACTCAGAAGGCGATGACGGTCTGGAAGCAGAAGAATCCGGCGAGGAAGAGGAGGAAGAAGACGACTCCGATGATGACACCGCTCAGGTTGGCAAGCTGGCCGATCTTTCCGACAATGATGACGCCAACTCCGACGATGACTTCGATATATCCGGCGAGGAAGATAATGCGGAGGCAGATAGCGATGAGGAGGAGGACGAAGACGACGACGATGATGATGACGACAAGTTGCCCATTGAGCGCGCCAACAAGAAGCTGAAAAAGCGCGAAGCCAAGGAAGCCCAGCTGGCCGATGACGAGTTGTTGGAAACTGTTGACCGGCAGGATGTGTTCCAACTGCCAACTGAAGAGGAAGAGGCCGAGAAGGACCTCACCCTGCAGGAAGTGCAGCAGCGCATCAAGGACGTCAGCTTGGTTCTATCCGACTTCAAAAAGTACCGCCAGGCGGATCGGTCTCGCGGGGAATACATTGAATTGCTGCGCAGGGATCTGTGCTTGTACTACAGCTACAACGAGTTTTTGATGGAGAAGCTGATGGACATGTTGCCGCTCACCGAGCTCATGGAGTATCTGGAGGCCTCAGAGGTTAGTAGTCTAGTTGGGAAACATTTTTACTGGGTTTATATTAATAAAATAAACTCTTTTAGATTGCTCGGCCGCTGACCATACGTACCAATACTCTAAAAACACGTCGGCGGGATTTGGCCGGAGCCCTGATCAATCGTGGCGTCAACTTGGATCCCCTGGGCAAGTGGACCAAGGTTGGATTGGTCGTCTTTAACTCGCAAGTGCCGCTGGGTGCCACCCCCGAGTATCTGGCCGGTCACTATATGATCCAGGGAGCCTCGTCGCTGCTGCCTGTGATGGCCCTCGCGCCGCAGGAAAACGAACGCATCCTGGACATGTGCTCAGCTCCTGGTGGCAAAGGATCCCATATCGCTAGCATCATGAAGAACACCGGTGTGCTGTTTGCCAACGATTCCAACAGGGATCGCATCAAGGCCATTGTGGCCAACTTCCATCGGCTGGGAATTGTAAATGCAGTGGTTAGCTGCGAGGATGGTGCGAAGTTCCGGAACATTATGACTGGCTTTGATCGCGTCTTGCTGGATGCTCCTTGCACAGGAACTGGTGTTGTCTCTAAGGATCCCAGTGTCAAGACCACCAAGTCGGAAGTTGATGTGCAGCGGTGCTATAACTTGCAGAGGAAGCTTCTGCTCACCGCCATCGATTGTACGGATGCGAAATCATCGACCGGCGGCTATATTGTGTACTCCACTTGCTCAGTGCTGCCCGAGGAGAACGAGTGGGTCATCGACTATGCGTTGAAAAAGCGAAATGTCAAGCTGGTGCCCACTGGACTGGACTTTGGCGTTGAGGGCTTCACCAAGTTCCGGCAGCATCGGTTCCATCCCAGCTTAAACCTCACAAAGCGTTACTATCCGCACACCCACAACATGGACGGATTCTACGTGGCCAAGCTGAAGAAGTTCTCCAACACCATACCCATAACCAAGGAGCAGCAGGAGGAGGATGAGAAGCAGCTGGACGAGGCCATCGAGGCTGAGGCCACCGCAGAAGTGGCTGAGGAGGCTGCGGAGCCCGAGGAGGAGTCAGGACAGGAAAAGGGGCCCAAAAAACTGCTGGGCAAGCGAGCGGGCAAACCCAGCTTCACCGAAATCGAACAGGAGTTGAAAAAGAAGAAACGGGAGGAGAGCAAGACCAAGTATGTGGCCAAGGTGTTTGAGCAGCCTGTGAAGGCGCCCAAAAAGCCAAAGCCTGAAAAGCCCGTGGAGCAGAAGGAGAAGAAATCCCAGGAAGTAGTGGAGAAAACAAATGGAAGCGAGGCACCATCCAAACCAGCGTCTAAAAAGAACCAACCCAACGGCAGCCAGCCAGCTTCCAAGTCAGATGCCAAATCATTTAAGAAAAAGAAGCAGGAAAATGGAAACGCTTCGCCAGCCAAGCCAGTGGGCAAGAAGTCAAAGGCCAACGGCACTGATAAACCTGCCAAGCCAGCGGCAAAGGAACCTAAAGCAAAACCACAGGTTAAAGTGGAACAGCCGGCGAAGTCCAAGCCATCCAAACTAGCCAAGGCGCCAAGAGTGGAGATCGACGAAGTGCCCATTCTGGAGGGAAAGCCCATCAAGAAGCAAAACAAGCTGAAGCAAAAATCCAAGCAGATCGGGCAGCTGAAAAAGTCCAAGACGGGTGCGAATGCGGGAAAGAAGCAAAAGTTTAAGAAGTGAACATTTTAGATCCAGTTTGGTTAAGTAGACTATAAGCTGTAAAGTTGGGGTAGTCCGAGCAAGATTACCTGTTTAATATATTGAACGATCTTAGCTAATGATTGAGTGTTGATCTACAATTGTGTTGTAACTAACGATCAGATTCAATAAACGTTAAGCTCGGATTAATGTAGTCACAAAGCGGGTTTATACATGTATAGGTGGCTGATATATGTTAACAATCTGGGTAATTATTCTACATTTCAGAGGTGAAGCTTTGAGTTATCAGTTCCAGACACGAAGCTCTTTCGCCAGAACAAAGGTGTCCAAGCTCAGCCGAGCGGTACGACAAGCTGTTATTTGTTTTATTTACTTCTCAGTTTAAATCAAACGAACAAAATGGGAAGTTTACTTTTGCTGTGCTCTTGCCTAATGGCATCATTGCATTTTATCGATGCGGAAGTGGATATCAACCTTGCTACGGTAAACCAGATTCACAAGAATCTTAATAAAACCGCATCTCCATGCTCGAATTTCTGGAATTTCGCCTGCGGAGGCTTTGAAAGCGCCTCGGAATATGTCGACAACTTTGAGTGGGTAGAGGATCAGTTTGCGAGTGCCATGGTCAAATTAATGGAGAGCCGCGTGGGTGAAAACGACAACCAAGCACCGCGACTGATAGAACAAATGCGATCATATTACAAAGCCTGTACGGAGGATACACGAAAGCTAAACTATACCCATCCTCTAGAAGAGTTTATAGAATGGTCGGAAGATCTTGATAATTCCATCAAGCACGGCTTAAATGGGTTAGTCTTTGATGAGCGCATTGGTGTGGCCGACAATGATTCCATGCGCCAGGTTATTCAGATAAAGATGCCTGATCCGAGTGCCAGGTTTAGTAGCCTGCGTGTGCTCCAGCTTTTGCATTTAAATGAGTCGATTCATAAAAATAAAACGATCGAATTGGTGAGAAAACTGCAGGAACTTCAGGATAGATATCGTGAAGAGAATCCGGTTGTATATACGCGGACTTATAGTGAATTCAGACAACAAACTTCCATTATTTCATCGACCATTCGACATCTTTGTAGTCAATTATTGGGTGCTACCTGCACCACAGAAAGTTTCGATCAATTGATTTTCGAAATAAGTGATGTGAACTATTTGCTGGAAAGTCTTAAGTTTGTTTATAATTTTGATGATGATGCCAAATCTCTTTATCTCCGATTGAATCATTATGTTTTTCTGAAAGATTCTGAACCTAGAAAGCGGAACCCAAAGACCTGCATTCACCACATGCGTGCTATACTACCCCTAGGTATGAATTATATGTACGATCGGTTTGTGTACCAAAATCGGGAGCAGGACACCTTGCAGCTAAAGCAGATCTTGGCGAGCTTAAAGGCGACCTTTGGCAAATACTTGGATGCTAATCGTCTGCAGCTTACGACCCACCAATTGGCCTATGTAAGAGCTAAATTGGAGGGAATTCAGCTAAAAGTGGGCAATTTACCAGATGAGAAGTCCCCTGAGTTCTACGACACCCATTACGAGAGTGCTAATTTTACAAAGTTAAATTTCTATAGCAATCTCATTCAGGCCTTAGCCCTACGGACCCGTCTTCAGCATGCGGGACTGCTAAACCCGCAGTCCAGACTTGATTTGCAGCGCTACTATGTCAACGATAATGTGAGGAAGGCCAGGACTTCGCCTTTCTATGAAAACGAAAGGAACACCATCACCGTGCCCATGGAATTTTTGCAATGGCCCTTGTTCGATCACCGACAGCATATCATCTTCAAGCAAAGTCTTCTGGGAGCAGTTCTGGCCCACGAGATGAACCACGCCTTCGAGCAGGATGGCATACTCTTCGATGCAGCCGGAAACGAATCACCTGTGGGTTTCGAGATCCGGGTGTCGCCTGCCTTCCGGAATGCCATCAAGTGTGCGGAGGGAAAAGACTATGTTTCCTTAAAAGAACGCCTGGCTGATCTTAATGGTCTCCAATTGGCCTATGACTCCTTCTTTGGTTTGGATCATGACTCCCGGAAATTCGAGTACCGCCCTTATGCCTTTGAGCCGGAGTTCACCGCACCGCAACTGTTCCATCTGAGCTATGCCCAGTTCTTCTGCGGATCTCTGCCTCCGGTGATCGCCCACGATCGGGATGATGAGCGTGTGAACGTGAGCGGTGGCAATTTGCGTCAATTTGCCTACGACTTCAAGTGCGAGGCGAGTCAATTGTCCCACTGCGAAATGTGGCGCCCAAATGTGCATACATAACAATAAAATGTAACACTAAATATTTGTTGATCAAATGAGGAATTGCTCGAAATTGAGATTGTGCCTTTCGATTTTAGTATTGGGTGCAGTTCTTAAATAAAATGTAATAATACGTATTATTAAAAAAAATTACCAGAGTTCTATTACTGTGTATGTTTCTTTTCTTGTAGTTGGCATAATTTCATACATATTTCTAAAAATAATTACATTTCTAAAAGGTCAATAAAAACTGTTGAAAATTAATGATAACATGAAAATAATTTATATATGTACATATATTATAATGGGCAAGAAAAAATATGATGACTGCAGTACTTTGGAAGATTGGTATACTAGCTTGGGATATGTTAATACAATATCTTTAAAATAAAATTATAGGATATTTTTAAAAATAAAAAATATTTCTTTATTAATATTAAAATTATAAGTGCCTTTATTGATGGTACCTGTAATCCAATGGATTTAAACTCAATCAGGTTAATGTTCAGCGAAAACCCCTTCGAGGGTTTCCCTCTCTGCAGGGTATTACACTTTATATTCCCGTTAAAAGTGGACAAAACCCATTTGGCGGCCCATTCAGCTTGAGTGTCAATTGCAGCTGACAGGCCATCGCAATCACAACCTCAATCGCAATCGTTGCAATCGTCAATTGAATGCAAAATACCGCAGAAAACGCCGGTCTCACCGTGAGCTTTTCGCCCTCTCCCTCTCTCTCTCTCTCTCTCTCTGTGGCTCTCGCGAGCTTTTCAACTTGTTGCGGCAGTTGTATCCTGCATTGTTGTAGTATCGGTGTGTGTGGGCGCTTGGGTGTGTGCGGCTGCTTGGCTGTGTGGGTGTGCTTTTCCTCAAAGCTCGCATTTTCATCCGCCCCGTTGGCCGCAGTTTGGCGCTGTCTTTGGCCGCCTTTGGACGCGTGTGCCGTGTCCGAGTTCGAGTCCCAGTCGCCGTGTGACCCACTGTACCAGACTATCCGTAATCTTGGTCCAGCTGATGCTCCTACGATTATCTCGCCATCTGAAATTGAGCAACCAGCCTCCGCGACTCAAAAAAAAAAAAACACAACAAGCGCCGCCGGCTTAATTCTGTTTATTCGTCGTTAGACTTTCGATTCGACTTGGGTTTTCGGGAAGTATTCGATGTCATCTAAAATTAAACGTGTTCCCAAGTTCCACAGTCCTACAGTGTGTCATTCCGCGATCGTGCGTGTGTGTTAAGTAATGCAAACAAATAAATGATAATGATAAAAAGGCGATAAACGTTTAAAGCTCTGAACAAGAAAAGAGGTGCAAAAAGAAAACCGCTTGTGAGTGCGAGGGAAGGGGTGCTAATTCGAGAATTCCGCAGTGAGTTATGGGGAAGCGTGGGTCCAAGACCGTGACCGAGACCCTGACCCCGACCCCAAGAACCCCGAACCCAGATCTTAGATTCAAAACATCCACCTCCCAAGCGATCCATTCCTCGGCCGCTGCTTAACGATTTGGGCAAATATCGGACTGCCGGGGCCATAAAAACATTCCCCAGAGCAAATCGCCACGGGGTGGCGCACTGGTTCCAAATCCACAGCCAAATCAAAAAATCCAAGTGGCGATGATCACTTAGCAGCTTGCTCCCATTAGCAGACAATGGAAAAGTCCGCAAATAGACTTTAAATTGAAGAATAAACGTCTGATTAGACTCAATGGCCGTCGGATTATCCGCTGCCAGCTTCACAAAAGGCGAAAACAAATTACCGAGGTGCTCCGGGTTAAAAATATATATTTTCTGATGATACACAGAGAAAACTATAACTTACATACTGCATTTATTAACAGTGTGCGAGGAATTTTTCGTTTTGAAATATTTCCAAAATTATTCGAAACATTTAATTGAGTGTGATTCATAGGTTTCAGTCTCCAAAGTGATGTTAAAGCCTCCTAGGACAAAGGAAAAATATAATGCTATCGTGAAATTTTAAGAGAAGAATTTAAAAAAATTCCGAAATGTTTTTCAAATTAGTTTCTCGTTCTTTTAATCCAAATTTTTGGACCCACATTAATTTGTTCTCACTTATTTTCATTATTTATTTAATAGGGATATGTGTCAGTGCTTTTTCAAACGATTGTGTTATGAATCATAACTTATGAGTTGACAATTAACATATTTTGATTGAAACATAAATTTTTAGCTACATTTTGATTTTTTTCTGGTTTTGACAGATTGATATTATAAACAACAATGGAAACTAAATAAATATTACTATTTTAAAAATAAAGTCAAGACATTTCCAGTAAAGGTCGAATCTATTAAAACTAATTTTGTAAAAGAGTATTTTACAAGCTTTTGAAATTGGATGAAATATTAAATATTTCTTTGAACATAATTTAAATTTAACATAACATAATTGTAAATATTAAGTTAGTTTTCTCTGTCTAGGATTTCTTATGATTTTTTTTTTCGTAGTTTCGAACCCTTGATTTTATCCCATATATGCAAATGTTTGTGCTCCATTTGCATGTTTACGACTCTTTTATCCGGATAAAAAGAGCCTCGAGGTGCTCGGGGACATCATGTCCTGTTTTCTGTACACCCCTTCTCCATCCGCCCACTGCCCCTGTTTCCTGCATCCTGCACTGGGATTTTTTAATTAATTCTTATCCGGCAGGATGGGCATCCTCTCGCTTTCTCTGAACTGCATTGCAAAATTCTGTTCTCATGCATATTTTATAGGTGTACACCACGCCCCCATCCACACGGTGATGTTGTTGTTATTGAGCAAAGATAAACATTTGTAATATTCACCCTTTATATTCGCCAGTTCCACTCGCACTCCCCGATTCATTAGGCCGCCCGCCACCCTCAAGACCCCCAAAAAGGTAAACAGGGTATAAAAACACCGACTCGGGCTCGGGACCCAGCAGGGCGCAAATTGTTTGCGACTCTCGAATATGAATTGTTAAGTAAATACGAAAATTTAATTATACTCGATTGTAAGAAGGCGAAACGAGCGGGAAATGTAATGTAAGTGGGGGAAAACTTTTGGCGGGGGGATGGGCTAAAATTAGCAAATGGCTTTCGAGTGTAAGTACGCCAATTTCGAGTGGCTTTTGTTCGATCTACTAACTCTAAATGCACTTTGTGTGTTTGCAAGTGGCTGACTTTGTTCCCTTGCCTCTTTCGTGCATTTCCCCTTCCAGCCTCCTAAACCCTTTACACAGGAACAAATAAATGGTAATTTCAGATACAATTGGAATATAATCATTATCATGTCGCAAAAAATATCAGAATTGAATATTAGGTCATGCTTTTGTGATGCCCAATAATTGCAATACATTTATATTTTAATAATTATAACTATTCAAACCTAATGAACTCGTACCCCAACATGAAACAACATTAAAAATAGTATTAGAGGAAACACAAATTATGAATAGTATTTTTAAGCGCTCTATTAGTGCATATGCTGCCCACATAACTCTGCTAATTAGTTATAAAAAATTATAAATAGTATGATATTTTTCTCTACATTTCCCTGCAAGGAGCCACTGTTTACAGAGTGTTTTTCCCCCTCCCACAGTTAGCTAATTGAATTTTCTAATAAGTATTGATTGCTCCCACATAGCAGCTGCTCGTAGTTTATTCTCCATGATGCTGGCTGCCTTTCCACCTGTATTCTTCCCATCTACCCCTTCTGCATCCAGAACCCCTAAAGCGCCACTGCCATAAAACAGATAAAACAAACTTTGCATGAACTCATGAAATTTTAAAATTACATCATGTTTATGTATCTGGGCGTGAGGGGGTGGCATTATTATGCACGTGTTTGGATATATCTCCATGACTCCTTGGCCCCCGCCTCGAACCACCCACTCCATTTCGCCTGCCATGCAACAGGCAATAAAATGCCCGCAGCTCCGTTGCCAAACTTGTATGAAAATTGCAAATAAAAAAGGAAGTATTTTTGTTTTATTCTTACTTTCATATTCAACTTTCTGTTTTCGGCAGGGCATAAAACAACTTTACGATTCTTTAAAGGTCGTCTTGCAAATCTTAAGCGTCCTGCGAGTTCAAAGCATCTGGAGAATTTGTTATGCTGTTGTAAGCCAATGAAATTAGTAGGCATATGAAATGAAGTCGTCTGGCAACGCGGCGTATGCTCGATATTGATGCCCGTTGCTCATACGCCATGTGCACCCAGAACTTTATTTCCCTGTGTTTAGTTTCGTTTCAATTTGTTTTTAATTTGTAAACTTTCCCCGTGTGTGTGTTTGTTTTGCTTGGCTTTAGAATGCCTTGTTTCACGGGGTGATGGTCAAGAGGATAAGGATGACCAGGCTCGGAATCCGTTTATTTATTTGCTCTCTGCTGGCCAAGACCATAAATATCGATATGATAGCGCCTGACTGGGTCTGCCATTCCATTGGGTTCGATTTAATTCGCCTCGATTCAAAGCGATGCGATGCGATTCGCTTCGATTCGATTTGATTTGTCCGCCAGCTGACGCCGTCTCTGACTTCTGACTGCTGACTGCTGACTTCTACACGCTTCGCTGGGCGGGCTCGTTCATTCATAAAGCGGCTGCCTTCCTGCTGGCCCACAATTTTTATTACCCCTCGTGTTTTTCAGTACATTTCATTTACGTGGTTTTTATCACGAAGCGCACTGTCATTTGGCGCTGGCCTAAAGGCTTTTAATTGATATAAAGACAATGTTATGTTGCACTGAGGAAAATGCATTTGACACAGAAATGGAAAATAAAAGTTGTATTAAATAATAAGAAATTAATATAATTCTTTGAGCAATCTCCTTTCTATATGGATATGTTTTTTGTTAAAAACAAAATACTTTTTTTCAATTGATATAATAAACCAAATATACTTCATTATATCTTATAAATTTTAATGTGTTTCCGCCAATTTCAGGACAATGATTTCATTATTAAGTCATAGATCAACTTTATGTGCAATACATTCTTTAATAAAATGTATAATTGTCGCATTAAAAAGCATGTGCAGATGGTTTGCCTCATAATGGCATTATGTTTTTATTGCGAAAGCAATGAAATGTGTAATTGTTCTTTGGAGTATAGTAGTCCTAAAATTCCTCATAAATGACTCAGTGATTAAACTTAAAGATTCCTGGTATTTTATGACTAAACGTTATATTTCTCAGTGAAAATCTAAAGCAAAGAGAAGATCTATTCCTGCAGTTCTATTGCAATGCTTTCGTTATTAATCGGCCCATTTTGATGGCCCAGCGCGCATGTTTCGGATTGCATGTCCGTCTTCGTTAGCTTTTCCATTGCCCACATGCCGATTGCCAATTAATTTTCATTTGTTTTGACACTCCATAAATCATCGGAGCAGCAGTAGAACAGCGAATCGGAGAGCAGTGTGCAGTGCCCAGCGAATATTTGGCATACGCCCTGTTGCACCAGCAACTAATACGACTTGCCCATGATTTATCTGAAATTGGCCAGTATTATTATTTACATTGGTCAAACAGTTGAAATGTTTATTTGACTACTGGGCGGCTAATTGTGGCACATTCGAGGCCAGATTAGTCGCCCCACCATTGGCTCCAAATGACACGGATGCTGATTATTGCGATGATCTCGGCGATGATCATCATTGCGGGGTGATAACCACAAGCACGCGCTCGTCCAAATAATGCGCTTGTTTGCCAAGCCCATAAATAAATCGCTGCTTCTTTTTTGGATGGAGAGCTTAAGATTGTGGCATGACGACTTCTATGCCAGATGTTTGGCCTTTTCGGGATTGAAGGCAAATATTTGCACTCTGGAAAGGGAGGAGGGATTTGGGGGTTATTCGGGGTGGCCAGGATCTGCTTTCATTTTAATTGAATGCGTACACAGAAAACAAATAACCAATGTTATGTTTTTGTTTTAATTTTTTTGCAATGAAGAAATTTTAAGATATTCAATTTTTAAATTAATTTTCAAATAGTTATGGGGAAATCCATGGGAATACCTTTTTTGATATGAATTTTAAAATAAATATCAGCTTACAATTTAATTGTATCCTTACTTTATAAATATATAAGTGTTTCGTAATGTATGGGCATCAAATTATTATATAATACCCATATTTATTACAAATTTATAACCATTTTTAGATAATCAGATAAATAGAATATTGTTATGAAAATGAATGAATGAATGAATGAAGGAAAACAGTACTTCATTAAAAAGTAAAAACAGGAGGGCTATCGATTTCAACTTTTGTTCTCTCCCCATTTAAGTAATTTAAAAGGTCATAAAAATGGGAAAATTTTCGGAGAAAGCGAGATAGAACCCAAAGGAGCCGAGAAGCACCCACGCTAAATTGTTTGGGCGGATTCCTAGGCTGGCAACGTGTTGCAGGTGCAGCTGGTATTTCCCATCCACCGGGCCAGAGATCAAAGTGGTTGGAGGCTATTTATAGGGCATAATTAGCTGGTCGGACATGGCCAAGATGGCCCAGCCGACTGCACACCGAGCCCTGACATTCGCAGATATGGCCCGCAAACATATGTAGATATGCAGGGACCCAGTGCCACCGCGTTATCTCTCGTCTCATCCCATCTCATCCACCAACTTGACATTGTCAGAGCTCCTGGCCATCTCATCTGCTTCCAGCAGTTAAAGCGCTTGAAGTTAAGGCTTTGTGCGTGAGTCGTGCCGAGAAATGAGATGTGATGAGTCGGCGACCCGGGGAACAGCTCGCTGCCATGGTATTTGTTCATTAATAAATAACTTGACACTCTTTGTTTTAATCACAGAGGCAGGGGGGTATGAAATCTCTACCTAGTGCCGAGCACGTTGCCAGGTGAAAAGGCACATGCACCTGGCTTACACATCTGTCGCAGCCACCAGACCCGCCTGCCTCAATTACCAGATAAAGTTACGGGCGGCGGACTAGTTTAATTACTTTGTTGCTTAATTGTTGCATGTAATGATTATGCGTGAGCGGAGGTTTTATGTGCCCCATAAAGTAATTAACCCGCATTTCTCTGAAAACCCATAACTGCTAAGGTTTTAAATGCCAGAACTTATGCCTGCCGATTAAAGTAATAACCACCCAAATAATCAGCTTCATCAAGTCAAATTAAACTCTTAAGTTTCCCCCGATAGATTTCAAAACCCGTTCTCACCCGTGTGAATCGGAATGTTTATCTCTGCGGTGCAATCTCCATTACGACAGCTTACAGCAAATATTATCGAGCGTGGCAGAGTTATTGCAGCTAATGGGGATCTAATGGGGCTGGACGACCCTGTAATTGATCGGGGTGTGCGGCCCAAATATAATGACAGACGGTCTAGAGCGCTTTTCATTCCGTGCACCATATAAACCGTTCAATTACGCGGCTTTTGCCATGGAAAAGTATTTCTATTTCACCTCGTCGCCGCCCTTTTTGTTGCCCATTGAAAAAGCCACCACGCTGTCCATAAAGATTGTGCCGTAGCTATCTACATTTAATCTGAACCCACTCCCATAAAGCAGCCCCATACAGGCACGTGATTTTCTCATGTGTTATTTGAACAGATTTTTGTTATAATTTGTATACATTAACATAAAAGACGAAAACAACTCACCTTCGGGAAAATGGAGTGTTTTTCCGAAAATGATCCACTAGTCCGCAAATACACATATGGGATGCTTTATTTATACTCCTCAATCAACACAATATGGACCCTTGAGTCTTGGCCTTCTGGATATTTTGTTGAGTCACTGCAACCAAAATATTTAACCAGCAGGCAAATAAATAATTTTTATAATATATAGCCTATCTACATCTCTATATATGAGCCAACAGAGGCTGTTCTTCGGGTTCGGGGTTTCTCAGTTCTGGGCTCTTGGGTTTGGGTGCTGATTTGTTCTGGTTTTTCGGTGGCCAAGACTCTTTGCTTTAACTGATAAAGAATGTTTCTTTCTTTTTTGCACCCACACTGGGATTATTTGCGCAGATTCTTTTAATTGCGCATCGCACGGCGAGGAGAGAGAAAGTGCCCGTGGAGTGCCAGAGTTCAGGAGCGGAGACGCCTCGCTGACAGGTCCCTGCTGTCTTCCATATTGCACCGTCGCTCGTTTGGTGGACCCATCACGAAGTTCGGGCTCCCAGGTTCCCGCACATGGCCGAGGACGATTTGAGGGCCCTGGTCGACAGCCTGGATGACGCCTCGCAGGAGGACCTGGCCAAGGTCATCGCCAACTTCTCGGTGGACATGCTGCAGCGGGCCAGCGCCCTAATTGGCGCCCAACTGGGGAACAGTGGGGGGCAGCTCCGAAACCGCACGCAGGAGTGTCTGCAGCAGCAGCAGCGGGAGGAGGTGGAGGTGGAGCTCCTGGCATCTGGTGGCAAGCGGGTGAGTCCCCTAGGATTTGGCCTGGGTGAGGTCGGTTCTTGTCCCTCTGATGAGGCATTAATTCCTGAGTACTCCACTTACCCGGTCATTCCGTCAATAGAATATTTAGTACTAATTAGAAATCGTCATGTTTGTCAATCCACTAACATAGTAATTAAACGCCCCACTAAACCATGTAATGTGGTTGATTGCAGATCGATATGCCATTACTAGCTGCATACAGAAACAGTTGATATCATTTTAAATTGAAATAAGATTTTCTAAAAAGTATTTTTAGTCAATTAAGAAAATCAAATCTTAGCGATGTACTTAAACATCTATATATTTAAATTCTAAGGAATGAATAAATGTGTCTAGCGATATAGAAAAATAGCTCAATGTTTAATGTTTACAACAATTTATCATTTTCAATTGAATAATTAACGTTTTTTTATTGGCATTATAATAAGAAACGAGGAAACCTATAAAGATTCTATTTTTAGCCGTTGCTTGGAGAATGAATTTGTTTCGATTGAAAAATGTACCAATTAATCGTATTCGCTAATTGATCCATTCTCCTTCCGAAACTAATTGCCCTCAATCCATCCACATGCCAATCACTCCCATTTTAAGTAAAATATGGAAAATCAGTTGCCAGATTTCATTTTTTTTGAAAATATTTTAGCATTTTATTTCCGGAAAATGCACCAGATATTTATTTATGTATTCCTCTTGACTGTAAACAAAACGGGACCCAAGGAAACCCACTTGAGGCTGCATTTGTACGGTTTTGTTTATCTCGGATGCGCGATCAAAGAGGCGAGACACCAAAATCCAAGGGCGTTATTCCGCGGAACTGTCATAAAATATGTCTCATGATTGTGACCAAACGAAGAGCCTAATGAATGAGAAGTGCAAAGACAAATATTGACGGAGTTCCCAAACGTGTTTGACTTATTTATTGTCATCTCACTTTTTGTCGCGTGGCTAAGTCCGATCGCATTAACTGTCACAAAAGCTTAGACTTATCAGGGAAAGCCATAAAAAGAACTGACAATTCCGCTAAAGAATTGTTCGATGAGTCTCGGGTTTTCGGCGTCACCTGATAAGGCCAATAAAAATATCAATGGAAGCTCTGTTTCTAACACCGCCACCATCGCCTGCCGCGATTAATTTGGCGGTACGAACTGGACTGGGTAAACAATCGTCGGGTCTATACTTAACATTAATATATACACACTTTGTGTATCCGTGTCGGTATGAAATTGTTTAGCACGCCATTGCAAATATATAAATAAAGCCACGGTAGCCAGCCCGTTGGTGATTCTTTTTTTTTGTTTTGGGAACATTCCGATAAATGGCCCACGCTGTGTATGTGTATAAAATTTGGAAATTCAATTCATTAAAAGGAAATCTACTATACATTCATACGTAATGCGTCAGGGCCATAAAAGTTCGGGACCCAAGATGAAGGCATGATGATATTGTGTCAGTTCTGGCCCATAAATCTCGTATACTCTGATTTAATGGGTTGTGCGTTAGGTCAGTTCCGTTTATAGAGAGCACAGCCAAGAAGGGAAACTTAATTACTGTGCGGCATCAGCAGCAAATGTTTGTAAATGTTTACCCAAGGTTTCCTAAACTATGTTTTCTTTGCCAATCTTTGTGTAATCATAGTCTAAATCGGTTGTTGGTTTTACAGATTTTACAATGTCCCAGCTCGTTCGATTCGGTGCTGTGTTGGCCGCGAACAAATGCCGGCAGCCTGGCTGTTTTGCCCTGCATCGAGGAATTCAAGGGCATTCACTACGACACCACAGGTGGGTAGTTGAGATTCCATGGAGTATCTAAAATTAAATCTTGGCTTATCCTTAGACAACGCTACTCGCTTTTGTTTTCCGAACGGAACCTGGGACCACTATTCGGACTACGACCGCTGTCATCAGAACTCGGGTTCCATACCCTTAGTACCGGACTTCTCGCCCAACGTCGAACTGCCGGCCATCATATATGCCTGTGGTTATTTTCTAAGCTTTGCCACCTTGGTGGTGGCCCTCATCATATTCCTCAGCTTTAAGTGAGTTTAGTTTGAACATGAATTGACTTCATAAATTTCGAATTTGAAAACTCACAGAGATCTGCGTTGTCTGCGAAACACCATTCATGCGAATCTGTTCCTCACCTACATCACCTCAGCCCTCCTGTGGATACTCACTTTGTTCCTCCAAGTGGTAAGTTAAATTGTCTATAATAAGTAGAATTTCCCATTAATACAATATTCTCGTAGATTACCACAGAGTCTAGTCAGGCTGGCTGCATAACGCTCGTCATCATGTTTCAATACTTTTACCTAACCAACTTTTTCTGGATGTTTGTGGAGGGTAAGTTCAAAGGCGGTATTAATTGAATTCGATTTGTTTTATCATTTGCCTTTTTATAGGCCTCTATCTGTACACATTGGTGGTGCAGACGTTCTCCAGTGATAATATTAGCTTTATTATCTATGCCCTGATAGGCTGGGGCTGTCCAGCTCTATGCATTTTGGTGTGGTCCATAGCCAAGGCATTTGCCCCACACCTCGAAAACGAACACTTCAATGGGGTAGGTTTAAAGATCTGACCAATGAATACGATTGCTATATTAATAAAATGTTTCCTTAGCTGGAAATTGAGTGTACATGGATGCGTGAATCTCATATCGACTGGATATTCAAGGTACCTGCCTCACTGGCTTTGCTGGTTAATCTAGTATTTCTTATACGCATCATGTGGGTGAGTTCCAAAGTCCAAAGTTTACTTCCAGGTGGGGGGCGAGTTATCTAAATTATCATATTATATATCTTACAGGTGCTCATAACCAAACTGCGTTCCGCTCATACCCTGGAAACGCGGCAGTATTATAAGGCCTCTAAGGCGCTACTTGTGCTTATACCGCTTTTTGGAATCACCTATCTGTTGGTGCTCACCGGCCCGGAACAGGGCATCAGTCGTAATCTCTTCGAGGCCATAAGAGCCTTCCTCATCAGCACGCAGGTATATATGTTTTGTCGCATAACCATATAAACCTTAATCATTATAAACCTGTTTTTAAGGGTTTCTTTGTGGCTCTGTTCTACTGTTTCCTAAACTCTGAGGTTCGTCAGACGTTAAGGCATCGATTTACACGGTGGCGCGAGAGCAGAAACATCCATCGGAACAGCTCCATGAAGAATCGCAGGTGGGCTAGGCTAACCAATCATTTAGGGCGACTGCACTCATTTGGCATTCTAACGCATTGTTGTTGTTGGACTATATAACCCTGGCTCTTGACATATTGGCTTAACACTAATTGCACTATTTAGTTGATGTGGCTATGGCTGTATGGCTATATTGTAGTTGTTCGCTGTTGTCGTCGTTGTTGTCATTTAACCAATTAATTTCCATTTCAGGCATCGCGCCTCAAAAGACTACTCGCTGCGATCGCGAACCGAAAGTCTGCGGTGCGTATATGCAAAGCTCATGTATATGCTTTCTCTCTCCTTAAAATTGCCTCCTCTAGAAACTAATCCCAAGCTAATTGCACCCGTATTGCTTAAAGTACTAACACACATATCCTACTATAATTTCCCGCCTAAAACCTTGCATTCCTATGATTTCTTGATTTTTAAACGTATTTTGCATGGTTAGTCTTCTGGACAGCTTATTTGTTCACATTTATTTACTTTTGTATGTTTCTGATTTGGGATTTCCTCTTTTCTGCTTATCCTTTTTTGTAGACTGACATCATCAAGTCCTGTACCCACCGGACACTATGAATGAACACCATACACAAATATGTATACGACACAGAGATTTCCTCCCCACATACATGTAGAACATATTCTTTTGTCCATAAGTATTGCATGTTAGTTTACAACATAAGAGCTCAGATTAAAGTATTATATTTTTGATAAACGAACAGCAGGTTATTCACTTATTTACTGTATCTTACGACTCATTATAATTGATTTTCAGCACGGAGGAATGTGTGATCTGCCTGCGTCCTTCGCCACATACGCGATTGGGATCTTTACAACGCTACCACAGCATCGATATCACAGATTTTGTCTAGGTTTTTCTGTTTCTGATGAGCATTTATTTAGGCCAGTTTATTTTTCTTGACTCGCTCATAAAACTGCCCAGAGAAGAAAGCCATCGGTGCGTAGGTCCGATAAAGTCGATATCAATTATCGGTATATTTATGGGCAGGCAATAACTTCCGTCTGATCAAATGAAACTCGCAGAGAGCATTGAACAGCTTCAGATTGGCATGCGGTTCAGGATTATCAGAATAAATTATTCTCCCAATACTGGATGGAGTCAACCAGCAGCGTTTGCCTCTGAAGATTTGACGAAGTGATTTGGTTTATCATCTAAAAGCTAAAAACAGATAAGTACAGACTGCAAAAAAACTTACCTTTAAAAGCAGCACCAACAGCTGATGTCGCGCATCTTCTCATGCACCTGGTTTTAGAATTCCAGCTTCAAATATATATAAAAAGAAACTATGGCCACCCAAAAAAGTAGTTATGAGATCAGGAACATGGTTAGACTGGACTTTAGTTTATTTTCGAGAGTGACTTGGAGTTACAGCAGAAATTGTTAAACTAATGTAGGTTCAGGTTTCGGGTTTCGGGTTTTCCGTTTTTTTATATTTTGTTGCAAAATCTTAAGTACGAAAACATATTGCCAACATAGTGATTTTATCTATCATTCCAAATGTAGAATTATTGAACCAAACAAACTGTGAATACCCCAACAATTTTCCCCCTTTTAGTGTACATTCTAAATTAACTACCAATTTACTAGTCGAGTGTCAGTTGTGTGCCAATGCGTGCAAAAATTGTTCGTAACGATTAATTGTTAATGTTAATTCTAAGTTTTACTCTTTTAGCAGCTTTTGTTTTCTTTCCGATTTTTAAGGTCACATTGTTTATATCACTGAAAATGTAATTTAATGTATTTTAACCTAAGGCAACGCGAAATTAAAAGAAAACTAAACGAAAATATAAGTAAAAGAAGAGAACAGATCATTTGATGTCAGCTTAAACTTAACAAATAATATTTTGCGAATAAAGCTTTTAAAATATCAAAAGTTAGTTATTTCTCAATCGTGAATTATCATCTAAAGCTACGTATTAATTTATATATATATCGTAAGCCTATGTCTGTGTAAGTGAATTGATGCGTATGAAATCTACAACTAAGTCTAAGAACTCTAATGTTCAACCTCAACTTGATTCCCTACAAGGTCTTTTCTGCCTACATCCCATCATTCTCTGTTCCAACTGCAATGCCTGTGTGCGCTATATTTCAAGATGGATTGTACTAGTAATGGGTGTGATTCTATGGTTGTTCTATGAAAACGAAATTCGAGTCGTGGTTTATGCCAGAAACCATTTCAAACAGTCGCCTGCTTCCTTGCGAAACGAAGCCAAGGTATCCGTACAAAATAACAATTAGACTATTACTAACTAACCTCCTACAAACCCAATACCGAGACAGTCCCGAAAAGTGCGTAATTTAGTTGACAGTTGAGGACAACCTGCTGCACACATAGGTAAACAGCAAAGTGAAGGATGCTCTCAAGTTCGATATCGCGGTCTGATGCTGAATATGGCCAAGCTGATCCGCTTCCACTGGCACCTCAGCGATACTCGTACCACTATCCGGAGCTGGACGAGCACGGTGCTTACTCCGAGAGCGAGACGTACACGGAGCAGGATGTGCGTGAAGTAGCCGAGTTTGCCAAGATCTATGGCGTACAGGTCATACCCGAAAGCGATGACCCCCGCCCATGTGGGCAACGGCTGGAATTGGGGTCCAGAGCGTGGAATGACCGAGCTGGCGATGTTCATCAACCAACAGCCGTGGAGGTTCCACTGCGGCGAACCGCCGTACGGGCGGCTTAAATCGAATAACAATAACACCTATCTCACAGGCCGTTTGGGCCTATATTACAAGATGGTAATGCAGTACAAAATCGAAAATCGAGTCGTGGTTTATGCCAGAAACCATTTTAAACAGTCGCCTGCTTCCTATCGAAATGAAACCACGGTATCCCGATAAAATACAAATTAGACTATCAACTAACTAACGCACATTCCGGAAGGGGCCGCGGGATTGGGATTATAGGAGCATACTTTTACTTCTTAGAGGTAATATCAAATGCATTCACCGGGATTCTGGGCACAGTATTTGGGGAACAGCGCTTCAGCCCGGATTCCTAGTTCGACGAGACGATTGCGGAACAAAGAGATCCTACGGAACACGTCTGGCGGCACTATATCCATGTCGTGATCATCGCTAGGATCGGTCCACAGTCGCTCGGCCAAAGCGGCTGACCGTGGCCACAGCCGATTGTCCAGCTGATTTTCATCCACCTGCTCGGTCCACATGCACACCTCGCCGCCCAGCACCTAATGAGGAATTATAAGTTGATTATCCTTTTAAAATGCACTTTTGAAGCTAGCTCACCTGCTTCCTGCGCTTCTTGTCCAATCGCATCCGCTCCCATGGCCGGTGCTTGTAGACATTCTGCCAAGTGCGGTACGGAGCACAGGCGGCATCTCCAGTGGCCCGCCAGCTTCCGAAGCCGCAGTCCAGATACCAGGCGTCCACGTGCGAGAAGATCACGTTGTAGCCGTTGTCCAGCAGGTCGTAGTTCTCCTGCCAGGTGCTGCCGCCCCAGACCTGAACGGCGAATTGACTGTTTGGAAGACACTTGGTGTTGGTCAAGGCACTCGACCAGACGGCCACGTGCTTTGGCGCCACTCCATTGTTGGCCAGCTTTAGTCTACGGAACAAGATCATAAGTTAAGATTGTTTAATATCTTATAAATATTACAGGATCCGCTGCTCACCTGGCCATCGCCTGCAGCATGAAATCGCACCACAAGCCGCGCAGATCCGTATCGTTGAAGTACTGCGCCCAGCAGTCGAGATTCACCTCGTCGCCGCCTAGGTGGAAGAAGTCCGTGGGGCCCGTGTGCTGCAACAGCTCCTCGTAGAGACGCTGCAGAATGAGGTAGGTGTGGTTGTTCTTCGGATTTAGCTGCCCGCACGGCGGTTCGCCGCAGTAGAAGCTCCACGGTTGCTGGTTGATGCACATGGCCAGCTCGCCCATTCCGCGTTTTGGTCCCCAATCCCATCCGTTACCCGCATGGGCGGGGGCATCGATTTCGGGAATGACCTGGACGCCATAGATCTTGGCAAACTCGGCCACTTCACGCACGTCCTGCTCCGTATATGTCTCGCTCTCTGAGTAAGCACCATGCTCGGCCAGCTCCGGATAGTAGCGCGAAATGTAGGGGAAACTCTGAGCATCAGTGAGATGCCAGTGGAAACGGTTCATCTTGGCCAGACCCATGCCCACAATTGTTTTCTTGATGGAGTTCACCGAGAAGAAGTGCCTCGAAGTGTCCAGCATCAGGCCGCGATACCGGAACTTCGGAGCATCTTTTACCTTGCTGTTGGCGTACGTGTGCAGCAGGTGATCCTCATCATCGAACCAGATCAATTGCTGCAGTGTGGACAGTCCATGGCGGGCACCGAAGTAGGAATTTGCAATGATCTCCACCTGCAGGCGGTGTCCATCGGCTGCTCAAGGATTGGAAAAATTTAAGTTCCAGCTTATGATAAGCTAACACATTATGAGATTACGTACTTATGGAGCTAAGTTGATAGGTCTCATCGTTGTCCAGGCTGAAGTTAAGGTCTCCGGACTTGTGCACGCTAATCTTAACCTGTACGCTGGTCAGATCCCCAGCCTGCCGTGCACCAAAGGTGGCTCCAAAAAGCGTGGCTGCCGGTTCCACATCCGTATGATGCCTCGACTTCGATGAGGATTCACTGACGGTCGGCTCTGATGAACTGCCGGCGTAGTCCAGCCGTTGGATTTGCCGCAGATCCTTGAGGAAAAAGTCGAAAGCCAGTTGGAGCTGCTTGCGTACCTCACGATGGGATGTGTCCACCTGCAGCTGCACATCCTCCACGGAGAAGCTGTGCGTGTGGGGGCTGAGCACAAATTTGTGGGTGGGATGCGGCCAAATGTTAATGTCACCGCACGTCATCGAGCAGCTGATGAACGAGACCCGCTTGGCGGATTTGCCATGATGACCAACCCGGACGCATCGTTCACTCTCGCACTTGTACGTCCAGGACTTCTCGACGGGTCTGCAGAACGAAGAGTGATTAGTCGAAGTCGAATGATTCCTCAACCTGATTGGCATGTGGCACTCACATGGGAAAGGCACTGGTGTCGTGGTGACTGTGGGGGCGTTCCAGCGCCTCGTTGTAAGCTTGGACCTTGTTGGCTCCTTGGTTCCAGTAAAGCACCGTCAGGATGAATATGGCGCCGGAGAGCAGCACCAAAAGAGCTCGGCGCAGCGATACGGCCAAGGACATCTTATAGAGATAGCGTAGGCTGAAAAAAAGAAATAGGCGTTAAATAATCGTCTATAATTTTTGTAAACTCAAGTCATTTAATATTGTCAAAAAGAGTTTGTAAGTGAAACTCTTATTATAATTAGGGTAGATTAAAGCTCGCTCAAAACTCAGAAACCTATTCTGAGCTTGTCATTCCACATTCCCCATTCAATAACTGAAATTGGGCCACATATCCTGTGCCTTCATATAAAATTTTAATTGTATTTGTAATAATGAAAGCCTAAATAGCCCAAGATGGAACTCAACTCCCTTGATCCACGTTTAACCTACTTTCCTCCGTTAAGCCCCCCAACCCACCAGTTGACATCATCTGGCTTTTGGCCGCTTGCCTGCTGGCAACTAGTTCAAAGAACTGAGACAGTTAAGCAATAATGCACAATAGCAGGTCGTGTAGGAAGACAATGGGCCACCAGACCCCACCCAAAATCGTAGCGCCCCGTCATGGGGGACAGGATACATCGAACTTTAATCAATGCTCGCGACTTGGGCTTGACGAGCGATAAAATCAAAGGAAACCCGAGGAGCCGGGGTCTGGCACATGCCATTTAGTGGCAATTGTTTGTCCTCGGCGACCGCAATGTCCTCACGCTAATACATACGCACACATGGCACATCCACCTTTGCCGCACGCAAGGAAATCGAGTCTCCAGTGGCTCCTGGCTGGCAACATAATGAAAAATCGAAGTCAGTTCCGTACACAAACATTCGGGAATGCGGTGTGGCAGCTCTCTTTCTGGCAGAAAAACACATATCGTATGTATATCCCATAATATATTGAACATTTTAAAATTGTAACTTGGTAATATAAGAAGGGATTGCTTTGTTTTGGTATTTTGTAATTTTTGATAAATTAAAGGACATCTATTATTTTGCTTATGTCAGATTACATGTTTATTTGTATCAAAGAAAATCAGGTCATTTTAAATATACACAGATTAAACCTTTATAAGCATACAATCCGGGTAAATGTATATTTACCTTAAACCTTTAAAGTGTGTCTTCTGTAGCAAGTGAAACCTGCGTGTCAACCCTTAACACCATTTTCCTGTATGTCCCCATCCCATATCATATTTACAATGTAACCCGTAATTTAACGTTTTATGCTTCCTTATCGATTTCAAATCAAATTACTTAACAAATGAGTGGGGACCCATAAACCCAAATGTGATTTTATATATTTTTTAGGGCGGGCGAGCTTTTAAACTTTGCATAGACGAGGAATGAGGGCGAGACCTTGCCACCAATGGAGAAGTGGAGAATGGTACCTGGTGCCGGGTATCGTGACGCTTTACCGCTTTCCCCCATGCCTGGGTGATTACGGTGGGCGGTACACACCTGTAATGCAGTGGCAAATTCAACAAGGACCTGCAACCTTTGCGTGTGACTTCAACGATCGAAGCATGGGTGAGACCTTAAAATTTTCATTACGCTTCATGTGAAAATATGAAATACTTTCGCAGGTCATGCAACACAGGTGAATTCGCCACTCTACGTTCGAGACCCTTTCTCCAGTTGCCACTGGCAACTCGGAGGAGGTTGAATGTGGCAGCATGGCAGCCAGGCAGCCAGGCAACTTGGCAGCTGGTGCCCCAATGCAATGGACGTGTTCTTAGTTGTGGCCTGGTCCCCATCATTACCTTGATGGCCGTGCATAATAAATCAACAGGCATGCATAATTAATGCTGCCAATGCTTGAAAAAAGGGCCAGGAGTGGGTTGGAGTAGAGGGAGTGTGCCGGCCAGAAAGGATTGCTTGAATGTGACAGCCTCATTAGTTTCCACACAGCACTCTTACGACTGTCAAAAATATTTGTACATAATGTAGCATACATTACAGCGTTTTTGCTGGCAGATATAAAGTAAGATACATACATATAACATTCTAAATAGTCCATCATAATACTTATAGAGATTTTAATGAGCTAAAATAAACATGATTTTAGTGCCACGAATGTATTATGAAGCTGGAGAGAACTTTTTTGTATTATAATACATATAATCATTATCAAAGAATTTTCCAAAAGTGAATTAACAGTGGCTTAGGTGCAACAAAATGGTGTCATAAAAAAGTAATGAACTTCTAGTTCCACAATAAGTTATTTTGAAATATAATCTATTAGAAAGTAGGGAGGGCATCTAGTGCTGAATTTAAAGGATATTCTAGATTCATAGGATTATAAATGAAATATTTATCCTATATTTATACCACGGAGGGCAAACCCCCATTGAATTAAATATTACAAATGAGTTTTCTTTAAACTTTTCATCGTTTATCGTTCGGTTAGGACTGGTTTCCTCGGCTTACCCGCAACGCGTGCGCAGAGCGGTGCTCGAAAGTGACCAGAAGCGCCCGAAACTATCCATCATCGGAGGAGCCGCCGGTGGGTGGGCGCCACCTCATGTCCTCGTGCCCCTGCAACACCGCTGCCCCGAAACAGCGAGACGCTCTAATGAGTCACGTTGCCAGCTGCCAACTGTTGAGGGGCGGCGTGACACACAAAAAGGCGACTGCCGCCCGCTGGTCCTGGCCTGCTGCTGCCTGCTGGGTGTCCTGAATTGACAAATTTCCTTTCACACAAATCTAAAATTATGCCAGAGATGGAAAACTAAAATGGTGGTAACTTTTCTGTGTGTCGTTCACGGTCGTAGAGCGGCAAAAAAAAAGCTGGAGAAATAATAGAAACCACCAGGCGGACGTGCTCTTAAGCGCGCGCGACACTCGAGGAGCTGGCAACAACTACGGCCCAACTATTGCTATTACTGTTAAGCCGCCGACGTTGCGCGGATTTCAAGACGCTCGAACGCCGACGACGCCGTCAACAAACAGTTGGCACGGCCAAAAACACACTCGGCGGGAAAGAGAGGGGAGTGGGTGCACTGGGAAAAAATATACCACCTTTAATTTGCATACCAAAAATAAAAGTAACTTTTCTTAACTTTGGGCAAATATTTTTATGATTGTGGTTTCCTCGATCCTTTTTTTTTAGTCAATCACCAATCTGTTCTGAGCTGTTAGGAATCCTAACTTAGGATCAAACCTTACTAAGTTAAAAATAAATATGTATATTGGTATATAATTAAAACATTTTTCCCCTATATTTTTTAAATCAACTTATCATAACTTTAGACTTTAGTCAAGGTTATGAAACTGTAGTTTTTTTAACATTTAAAAAATATTTTTTTTAGATTTTAGGTATTATTTTACAGGGTAATTGAACACTTTCACTTTTCCTCATAAGAGCTATTAAGACTTTTGTTCGAATATACTTAGTCAATATATTTCTCTGTACACAGCAAACAACTGAGAAATAAAAGAGCGGGCGGTAAAAATGGCGTGCAACTATTTACATATGTTCTTGAAACCATGGGGCGACGTCTGTGCCTGTGATTGTATGCACCTGGCATGGGTATACATAGGTAAACCTATAGTTTTAGCTATAGCAGGACCAATTCACACTGCCGCCCTCGAATATTGGGCACTCCCCAGCCGCACTGTGCAAATAGCCATTTAAATGTTTATTTAATGCGAGTGCATCATAAATTAAAAGCAAATTTGCCGAAATAATACATGAATTTCAATTAGTTGCTAACGGCTGGCAATTATGATGATGATTGCACACGGGTGCTATAAAACGTGGCCGATATGCAAATGTTCTACATTTCGTTGGCATATAGGCGTGAAATTTTCAAAATTGTTTCAATATTGTGCGGGGTTTTTGAAGGGGTATGTTGAAATGTGTAATAAATGGGGCGCAAAAAGAACTTGATGGTAAGAGAACAAATGGTATTGGCCTTTAATTGCTATCGATAAGGGCAATTGTGTTGTTTATTTAATGATATAACTCAATATTTTAATTAGTAATTTTAGCTACTTATCCTTAAACTAGTTATCTTGCTAATATGTCGTATAAATGCAACAGTTGAACACCCCTTTTCCAACATAGTTGGCCTGCATTTTTTGCCGCATCACGCATACGCAGCGTGTGCCTTTGTGCAGCATGTTGCATGCTCAATATGCGCGGCATGGACTGTTGCTTCTGAGTCGCATTATTATTTATGGCCGCATGCCGTGAAAAATGTCAGTTGGCGACAAGTGTTGTTCAAATGGCATGCACGGTTGCCACAACAACAACAATAGTAGCAGCAACATCCCACTGGCAACACCAGCAATAATAACAACAACAGCCGCAGCAGCAATAATGACAACCCATATGGGGCATACAAAAGCATTTGGCGCTCAATTTGACGTGAAACGTGCAAGAACAGAGGGAAAAATTGGGGGAAGCTCAATACAAATAGCCGTGCTTGGCCTTTGTCGTCGACATATCCTTTTTCCACCCACTGGCTGCTAATACTACTGCCCCCCGAAAAAGCAGACAGAGATGGTTGCAGAAAAATGGGCAACGCAACTTGTAACAGGCAACCAGAAAACGGCAACAGAAACCAGTAGCCAGTAACCTCAACCAGCAGTAACCAGCCAAACACCCGAAGTGCAGAGCCCCAAGCCGAAGGCTGCCCCATTCGGTTGCCAGGGCAACTTCGTCGGGCCCACAACAAAAGGATAAGCCAAGCCAAAGTCCTCGGGACAGGACGAGCAGCCAGCAAACTAGTCAGCAAGTCAAGCCGGAGCTCAGTTGCAGCAGCGCAACGCATTTGCCCAGACGCACAACTCGCGATTCGCGGCCAAAACCAAGAGTTACGGAAATAGACTTGCCTTGGCCATCGATCGTTGTAGCAGCTACACTCGGAAAAACACAGAATCACTTTCTATCAGTTGAAAAAAATTAAAAGCCATATCAAATTATCATATCAGTTCTATACAATGAATATCACCATATCAGTGCCCCATGTTTTAATGTTTTAATAACCAACTATACGTTCCGTAAACGTTGAAGCATCGAAATACATACTAAAAATGTTCATAGCTGCAGTGAAATTAAAAATAAAAACAAATATCTATAAAATATATATTTAAGAAAAGCAGAAGGTCGACTTTGAAAAAGCTTGCTTATATTTTTAAATGTGAAAAAATTTTAATTAAAAAGATTCCCAGAAACTAATATAATTATGCCTTTTCTTCCCTGAAGAGATTCATAAAACATATCTTAACACCTTATATATATCTTAAAAAATGGTGCATTTACTATAAGTGAAAGTTAAATAACCTAGAACATTTTTTAACCAAACCTATATGAAAAGTGAATGAATATAAATTTTTCTAACAAACAAATTGTTTTAAAATATTTCAAAGCTACTTGTGTTACCATAAATATTTCAAAAAGTAAAAATTATAAGAAACCTTCCTAAAAATAATATAAAATCCAGTTTTCGCGTAGTGTGGCTGCTTGATTTGTAGCGCTGTCGTGCTAGAACTTGTGTTGCCTTCGGCTCGTCGCTCGCGAGGGCTAACTCCTGGCAGTCGCCTTTCGTCCTTGCTGCGGTCTAGAGTCCTAGCTCTCGCTTCTAGCCAGGCTAGATGCGCCTCCTTTGGGGTTGAAGTGTGCGTGCTAATGGCAGTGTAATGAGTGCGCCGTGCTAATCGTTATGCAATCGCCTAGCTTCGATTTCCAGCCGCAGTGAAATATGTCTCTCAAGCGTTATGCAACTCTGCTGGCCTTCGGTCAAAATCAGAATCAAAATCAAAATAATACAATCCCAACACTGGTGGTCTCCACAACGGAGGGCATTCCATCATCATCCTCATCATCATCATCCTCGTCGTATGGAAGCTTCGCTAGCGAGGAGCAGCTGCAGTCCCAGGAGCATATGTCATCTTCATCCTCGATTGCCACACACACCACCTATTATACAGGCGGATTGGGACAATATCACCAGCAGCGCGGTGGCTCAGGATCTGTCATTTCGGGCGTGGGCGGCGGCGGAGGACCTAGTGGACCCCAGACGTATGCAAATGTTGTCAACGGCAATGTGAATCTGCTGCTCGGCGGGTAAGTCTGACAGCTGAAACAACTGACTGATGGCGAGGCATCAGAGCCAAGTTCAAGAGATGATGAGCCAAGGTGGGGCTCGTGGGAAATGCGAACGAGTGGCGCACATATCGTGGCTGCAACTTTTGGCAAATAACCAAGTATTCCCCACGCTCATTTGGCAATTAATTAATTAGAGTTGCCAAGAAAGTTTGGCCAAAACAATTGGCTTTCAAACTAACCAGAAGTCGTTTAAATATTTACGTTTTTAAGGAGCTCTTTCTCGCCCGTCAGCCATGAACTCTTTTAGATAATTCATAGAAAATGTGGTTACCACAAGAACCATTCCTTGGTAACTAATAGCTTATTCCCGAAAGATAGTTAAATAATTGGAGTTAAACAGAAATAGAGATATGTTAGTTGAATAATATGAGTTAAGCAGAAACAGAGATATGTAGTTGGAAAACATACGTTTCTGGGCAACCGCAAAGTCAATTATTTGAATGTTTATAGCAGGTCGTAAATTCCGGTGAAGTGCTTTCAGTAATTGCCCCATTTTTGTAAGCATTTAAGTAGGATATTACAAGAAACTCGCATAGATCATAATGCTTGGCACCGCTTGATTTATGAGATGGGGCTGCAAATTAATAAACATCAACATTTTCGCCGCCTGCTAGCGAAGATGTCAGCCCTTCGTTTTTCCGGCAAAAGGGAGAATAATAATTATAATTCGGTTTTCTTTTCTCGCAACCCTAGCATCCTTTCTTTTTAATAAAATTTGTTTTCATGTGCAACACGAGCTATTTGGTTATTGGAATAACCGAAACCAACCAAACAACTACAAAGTACTTTTGGTCAACACAGTTTTATGGGGGTTTCTTGATGTCTGCAAACATCACGCGCCTCACAAGCTAAAAAACTTTATTTTAACTACATTTTTATCGATTGCCTGGGGCAGTTCATTGAAAATAGCTCGAATAAAAACTTGGAAGGGGTAAAAATCGCTTCACATGCCCCGCTGTTGTCTGTTCTTCGCCTCTGCGGAAGGGGAAGGTTGGAAAAACTCGGCCCAAAAGAGGGCCCTAATGAACTGTTGACATGCGAGAAAATGCGTGAACCGAGGAAAATGAACAGCCAAAAAAAGAGGAAAAACAGGACGAGGGAAGGGAAGGGACATACACTGGACAGACAAGTGGAACACAATGTTGCATTCTAAAGTGGATTAACTGACGTCATGGAAGTGCCTTGACTTGAGTAACGAAATCGACACGAAACGATTTCCGACTAAATAACCCAGTGGGTTTCAATAAATCGACACAAATTGGCCAACAGGACTAAAAGGAAAATTTGATAACTGGCAATCAAGTTGATAGTGGGGGTGATTTCGGATTTACTGAGAAATTTAGACAATTTTTATGGCTACACCTTTCGAAATGTTCGTAAAAAACGATCCCCAGGTACAGGAAATCTATAAATGTTTACCTATACCTTAACTTAAAACTATTATTATAAGGAAAACTAATTTGTTTAATGAATCAAACAGTAAACATCAAAAGCGTTCGTTCAAACGAACTCCTTTCTAATCTGCCTAATGTAAGCTATTTATCGCCAAACAATAGAAATTAGCTTTGCTAATCCTATTGGAATTGTGGCGTAAAATCAAAACAAACCCAATAAAACAATAATGTAGGCTAAACACTGGAGTTTCTTAGATTAAATTAGGTCACAACAGGACTCGCAGGCACACACACACAGTTTTCCCAAGAAGATATGACTTTTCGAATTGAGTGAATCCAGTGAAGTGTAGAAGCTTGTTCAGTAGTTGAAGTTAATTGACAATATTTTCCATTTACCATGCACACTTATCAACAGTTGGTTCGCCTTTTGTTTGATTGGAAATTAAATTTCAAGCCAGAATGAAAAGCCACAGCTATACTATCTAATTACAACCATAAGGCAAGGAAAGTAATTTCCGCTCCAATGATGTATTGAAGCCAACATTTTGCAGGCAATTTATGCTATCAATATGCAAGCAGAGGGCGCAAACAGGCCAAAATAAATAAATATACAAACATTTGCAATTTGTTCGACAAAATTAATAAATGCCAAAAACGTTATTAATACGATATTATCATGATGGCCATTTATCGAGGTCCCGCAATCAATTTCGTGTCACCACCCAAAGCAAACATTACGAATAATATCCATATACATATGAACACATGTGGCTGATATCCGTGGAATAACACTGCATTCACATATCCCCACTCGATTTAATTTGTTGCAGGGCGATGCTTTCCCTGGTGACGACCGTATTGTGTGTGGTCTGCTATTGTTGTCATCGGAATATCAAAAAGCGAACAGAGGCCGCCTACAGACAGCAGCAGCATCAGTGGCTCGAAGGCGATCCCAACATGGAAATATACAGCGTGGAGCAGGTGAGTTGTACATAGACGTAGAATGTATGTATGTAGCTCCCAATATCAATGGCCCAGAACCTCGGGGATTTAGAAGCTTTGTGGTGCGGCAGCCAAAATTAACAAACGGATGTCAACGGCATTCCAAATAGTGATGCTACAATAGAACTGGTCATCTATACTAGCTGAAAGGGAGGACATTTGCAATTTAATTAAATCTACTGAAGGGATTTCTGTTTATTGATGTTGTTATATTGACCTTTTCAACTCCTAGCTTGTATTATAATTATTACGGAGTTTAGATCTTAAAGTGTCACTTAAACATAAGAAGTATAACCACTCCTTTTCAATTTCTATACAAATGACGTAGTAGAATCTTACATTCTTGGCTACTGTATACCTATACCATCAATCATATATTTAAAATTCAATCGATTGAACGCTAAAAATCAATTAGCAACTATCAAGTTAAAGTGCCAGCTAAAAAGAGTACAAACATATAAGATATTAAGCAAAATACACAACAAACTTTCCCTGCAACCCAGTTATATTTCGTTTTAACTTCAATCACATCAACCTCGTTTTCCAATTAGTGGCTAAAATCACAATTCCGCCGAACAGAGAAACAATATCCAACAGCCAATTGGGCCCTAAAACCACCCACACAGGCCAGCCAACTGTAATTGTACTTTTTCAAGTTTAAGCCAACATTTCATGAGGACAGTTTGAAAATAAGTCGGAAACTGAAAGTGAGAGCGGAGAAAGGGCAGGGCTATAATGGATATTTATGCGGCGCATTTAACAGGTGCGACAACCGCGGGAAAGTGAGTTGACCAAAGGGGCGCGACCAATGTGGTTGGCCGCAGCCAGTGCAAGTGGCCCAGAAGCCGAACTCACTTGGCCCTGGAGTTTATTAAGTTACAAGCCGCCAACAGCTTACTAAGACCTTCCAATCCGACCCCCAACCAACCAACCACCCACTAACCCACCCATCCCATAGGCCATCATTCAGTTCATTGTTGTTTGTTGGGCCGCTGGGAAACGAGGGAAAAAAGTGCCGGCAAAGGGCTCCGCGTAAATCAACGTTAGCCTGTCCAGGCACAAATGTCAACTGCGGACAGAACGAGGCGGGATTTCTGGGGGGGAATGGGGATTGGGGATGGGTTGGGATGGGTTTGCAGATTGCGCAGCAGAGACAAATAAATTTATGATGTGTGCAATTTAAACTTTTTTATTTGATCGCGTAAATTTCACTTGTCCACCTCGTCTCCATTAAGGAGGTAAATTACAAAGCGACCAAGCGTAGATCGGCAATTATTCACAGCCTCGGGGTAGTTGGAACAGAGAAAAGCTTCATTAGATCTCTTTTATAATAAAAAAGGTTTAAATTGTTTTAAAGCATAATCATTTCCTAAATTTAATGAAATTATCAAATTTATTGTCAAGCTCATTTTAGTAACTGCAAGTTGCAAAGTTGCTATGAGTTATGTCTTTAAGGGCCAACTTCTCAATATCATGTTAACTTTTGTCTTTGAAATATACTGCTCTTTGGGGGAAAACTATATTTTTTAATATTATGTAAGGTGTTAACTGAGTAAAAACTGTTTACAAGAAGTAAAGTTCAAGGTAAATTTGCCGGTCAACAAAATGAAAATGGCAAAAAAAAGTTTAGATCTACAGTGTCTTTCAGAAAAATGTAGCATTATGTTAACAATCCCTGACTCATAAGAACCCATAATTTTAACTTGATATTGAGAAATCGGCCCTAACGGATATTTTTTTTTAAATATCTAAACATTTTTTAATTAAATATTTTCTATATTTAAGCAAGGGACAATAGTAACTTATTTTTAAACTTTTAATGAAACTTTTCTAGTTCTTTTTTAACCACCTTCTAATTGAGTTCAAACTATATCCAAATCTTTTAGTGTTACGAGACATCTGGTCTGTTTCTGGGCGACTCCACGGATGGTCTGTCCGCTGTGCCCGCCCTGCACCACGAACCACCGCCCTCCTACGATGCCGTGGTGCTCCACGAGCAGCAGCTTCACCAGCAGCAACTGGAGCAGCAGCAGCAGCAACAGTTGCAGCTGCAACTGCAACAGCAGCAGCAACTTCTGATGCAGCGCGTTTCACCGCCTCCCGGCTATCGATCCTCCCTGGACATAAGCGGCCAGCCGGGGACAAGCTTTGGTCGCGGCACCCCCGATGGCAGTGTGGATGCAGTGGCCGGTGGCAGTGCCGCAGGAGCAGGTGGATCCGCAGGTCTGCTGGTTAACAAGCAGCTACAACTCGCCCTAAATGCCCAATCCTGCTGCTCACTGCAACGGGCCGAGGTGGAAAGCATGTGGAATGCTGCGGCGGCGGCGGTGGCTGCCCGAAGCGGAAATTGCCTGGAAATGGAGACGCTGCAGGTGCGTAAGCCGGCGCAGAACATCAGATTGAACACCTTCGGGCGGCGGTACCTGCAGCAGAGCCATCAGCATAGTGGCAACCACTACCGACGCGGCTGTCCGCTGTGCGGCAAGTTCCGCTATGAAGGTGAGGCGGAAGATGAGCCGCTGACCGCGCTGTCCGTGGAGAGCGGTCTGAATATGGGCGGGCGTAGGGAGGAGCCGACTGCGTGCCCCTGTCCCAGTGACATCGACAATGGCAACCACATTTCGGCCGACGCTCTGCAGGATGAAGCCAACGGGAATGTTGAGTTCCCCACCGTGGACGATGAACCACCTCAAAATGAAGCCATACCCATAACCGCCGTCAATGATGAAAATGACAACGCAGCAACATCGGACACACCAGCAATATCCGACACACCAGCAACATCCGACACAACAGCAACATCCAGTAGGGGCAGGCAGCTGGAGGAGATGAAGGAGGTGGAACTGGCCACGGGAGGCCAACAGGAGGAGCAGGATTTGAACAACATTAACGAGAACGGCATCATCAGCCTGGACATGAGCAAAATCATTGACAGATCGGGCCTGCCCACATACGAGGGAGCCATCAAACTGGAGTCCAGTGGTTATGTGTGAGCCTAACGAGGAATTGGCATTGGTCGAAGAGCAGGAGAGCAAAACCTAAACCACAAGTGTGCTTTAACTATGATTAAGATATGTTGCGAATGGAGAAAAGTTGGGTACTCAAGATATTATTTAAAAACTTAAATACGAACATGTAAAATCAAAAGCTTATTGGTTTTTGTTACACAAAGATTTAAGTCTCTCAAGATTGCTAGGAACTTACTACAGTCCATGAAGAACATCTCTTTTAAATTAAGCATAATAAAGAACATGTTAAGCAAACACGAAAACAATAATTTTATCGTTTAAATGTTTAGAGCTAAGCGCGTGCATATCCCTGTAAATGTTCGTTTCGAATACTCGTATCAATAAAATCAAAAGTTGTAATTGAAAGCAACAAGCAATTTAATATGCAACCTCAATCCGCAACCTTCGCCTGAATTACACACAAGCACAGTTTTTAGTTTATAAACGCTCGGTTGAGTGCAATCCGATTGATTTTGTATTAAATACGTAAGAGATGATAAAAAAACGAAACCAGAGCAAAGAATGGCATGCAAACAAATCGTCAAAGACAACGGCTAACAAGCGGCAAGATAACAGGCCACACCACCCCCTGGCCACCCAACCACCCCCTTTTTTTCCCACCCTCTTGCGACTTTCCGCTTTCCCTTTTCACCGCACTTACCTCAGACAAACAACGGGCTTTTCGTCTGGATCATTTACATGAGGGCAGTGAGGGAAATTCAGGGGGGAAAATTGTCACCAGGTCGGCTACGCGATTCTCTAACTTAAATATTTAGAAAGTTGAGTTAAATAAGGCCAACTATCTTACATTTTAAAACAAAACCAATTAAAACACATGCCTTACTAAGAAAATAAAAACGTTTTAAACAAAAGTATACATTGAAATTTACCCAGCTTAAGCAAGCTTTGGAGATATCAAGTTCACCCACTTGGAAACAGCTCAAAATATCAAGTACACATATCAGGAATTTCACCCAACTCAAAACAGCTTCACAAGACATCAAGTATACGCACTGTTCGCCCACTTAGAATAACTTAATGGAATTTCAAGTATTGCAAGGGTATTCGGGGAAACAAATCGTTTACAATTGCGGGTTCTGTTTTTGTGTGTGGTCAAGCGATGAGCAAACGAGATGGGGGGGGGGGTTTTTCAGAACTCTTGTTTCCTCTCAACTACCTTTCTTTTGCCCTCGTGCCACATTGAAATGGTAACAAGAAACTTGTTAGTTGGCTCTCATCATTGTGCACAATTTCATTTGACATCAGGTGCAGGGGTAACAAGCTCTCGGCGTTTATGCAACCTTGAATCGCTTAAGTGGGTGTGGAATGGGTCAGGGGAATATGTGGGGACTGTATGTAATTATGCATGCATCGAAGGCAAAACCTTAGTTACACTTGAGATCACATTGAAAACCAACGCAATATTCTATAATCCCTGTTTGTTATTTTTAACAATTCCTTAGATATTTATTAACACTCGTACCGTCGTGCCAACAGCATTCTAATCGTTTCCGCAGAACTTTTCACGTGAGCACCGGCAATAAATAGAAATAATTTAATTTTGGTTTATTTATGGCCATGCCAGCGAGATTTCTGGGCGGCGGTATTAGCACAGTTTCGATGATCCGGCCAAGAGGAGCGCGCTTTGTTGATAATTGCAAACAACTGAAAGCGATGCGTCTGCCGCTGACGGCGGCCCAACAAGTCGCAGCCGCTGCTGCCGAGGAAAATGGGTGGGAAAACGGTCGGAAAACGGGCGGCGAATGGGTGGGAAAAATGATAGAAAAGAGAGCGCCAGACGCCTGCTAATGTGCATATGTGTGCAGGCCCAAACAAAATAGAGCGAACGAGAGCTGAAAATGAAACTGAACCGAGCTGAACTCATGGTTGGAACTGGGCGGATTGGGAGGGATAGGGCGGTACTGGGCGGGATTGTGCGGGATTGGGGGCTTTCTAGGTGGCATCACAAACTGCGCAGCGCCGCTTGACCCTTTCCATAGCCCCCCTGTTCGATTTATTAATAACACCACAAGAGGCACACGAGGGCGAACCGAATGGGCGAATGGCAAATTTCAGGTTTGATGGCAAGGGACTGCGAGGTGTGAGCACAAGCACTTTGCCAGCAGCCTCTCGTAGTTATAATTGCTGCAAATTGCCGCTTAAAAACTTGTGTTCCTGCCGGGGCATCGGGCCAAACTACTCGAGCCACTTACGACGATGTCATCGTCATCATCGTCATCAACATCGCCATCATCATCGTCATCGCATCGGCATCAGCATCGCTGGGAGTGCCAGGCACGTGCTTAAAAATAGACTCCATTGGGTCACTAAATATAAACCATTTGGCATTTGGTATGACCTAAAAATTCAGTTCGAAATGGTAAGAACAGAAGACAAAATCTCAAGTGCTCTTTCTATTCAAAAGAGAACATGAGAAATATAAATAACGACGAAGATTATTTAATTTAAACAAAATATAAAGGCTTATCACTTAAGCAATAGCATTACATAAATCAACGTTCTGAACCCCAAAAGCTCAAAAACTAATGAATTATAAAGGAACTGAGTATAAACGATTATCTACACAGAAAACTAATCCCTTATGGTTTGATCCTAACATACTATATTACTAATTATCTTCTTAAAGCTATCTTATATGCGAGAAGGTAAGATAACATAACTTAGATATTATTAATAAGAGAAATGCTATACGATATACGCTTTCGGATAAGCCGCCTTAGATTACCAAGTAGAGCTCTAAAGTTGCATTGTTCTATATCGCTTCCGTTGCCTTATCGCCAGATGGGTTGCTCATGAGTTGTGTACTAAAACAACTAAGTACAACTCGTAGTAAACAAAAAGTTGAGAAAAAAAAACAATTACTGCTGAATAAGCCAAAGAAAAGTAATAATTTTCATATTTCAAAAATAACAAATCAATTTTTGAATGATAAAAGGTTTTTGAATTCATGCGAAGTCGCTATGATTCTCAATTTATAACTTTTTGAGACCACAGTCGATTTTTTCTTTGGGTGTAGCAAATATGTTGGAGCTCAAATGCGTCAAAATTACGGCAGCGAGAAATAAAGCAAGTCATAAGGCAAGTGGGCCAAGCCACAAAGGAGAAAAGACAGCCGAAAGTAAAAGTGCAAATACCAAGTAGCCAAAAAATATTCCAGTACACGTAGGATGGGTGCTCTAAAAATCACAGAGGCATAGACAGGGTCTGAGCTAAGGGGTACAATATTATAACGAGCAATCTTGAATAACACAATTAAGTCGCATTTTAAATGTCTTGAACTAATTATAGTTTTTTTTTTTAAATTTCATTAAATTAGATTTTTAAACAAATTGGTTACGCTCATTAAAAACAAACAAAAAGTAAAACACCGGTTGGGTGACAAATTTGTTTTGATATATTAATTACAATTTACTTTAGCAATAAGTAATGTGTATAGGTGATTAGACTATTTTATTTCAAAGTGTTTATGACCATAGGGTTTTATAGGGTTACTGTAATTATTTTACTATAATCCTAAACTAAGGGATCTTTACAAGTCATATATATATATATTTCAGAAATAATAATTAACATTAGCTTTATAGTAAGTAATGTGAATAAGTAATTTAACTTTTGTTTTTATGTTATGGTTATATTGCCTATGACCGTAGTTTTGTATGGGGTTATCGTAGGATTTTTATTATAATCCTAAAGTAAGGGCTCTAAGCCCCTCCCGAATCCCTTGCGTAAGCCCCTGATCAAACATACACATACGCGTTATACTGCGGACAGATATACGAATGTAAGTCTGCCATACATTCCGATGTATGTACATAAGTAGACTTACCCACACTGCGTATGGGAATGCTCTTTGCATGTCCTTATTTCCTCCGTTGCCAGGACAACTGAGGATGGTCCGGTTTACAGGGTGAGGGGGTTACCTATTGCTTCGATTCTAGGGTGTTGCTGGTGCGGTTGAGATAAGCGTTCTCGTTGCAGGTGTGGCCCTTAATGGCAGTCTGTAGTTCCACTTCCTATTGCTTTTGCGACTTTGTGCGGCGGCAGGCGTTACATTTCAAACATGGGAATCGTCTTATTTGTGCTGTAATTTACACAAAATGCACACGACGACAGTACTGTGGGAGCGAGCGAGATGGCGAACAACGGGTGCGGAAAATCGGTCTGCACTTGGATAAACATATATTACGTCGAGTGCTTTGGGTACAGTCTGCCGCTGACCAATCATTCGGACAGTAAGTTAACAATTTCACGGCCCGTTTTCACCATTGGCGTCGTTAATTTTTGTGCGGGGCAAACATTTATTGCAAAAAAACAAAAAACAAAATCGGCGACTGACCGTGCGAGGAAAACGCTGAAATCCATGCTAGAAAGAGTTTCACAAAATACCACAAAGGGTTGAAAAATACTAAAATAAATTTAACGACAAACGTTTTAAATAAATTATTACAATTTTCAATGATTATTCATGGAAACGAACTACATTTTAAAATTAAAGAGCAATTGGTAAATGTTTTAATTTAAACTAATCTAATAACGGGAAACTTATCTAATATAAAAATTCAATAAAATTAGAAAGATCCTATTTTTTGGTGACCCCAAATTGTTATAAAAGGCTAACACAACATGTATATTTAAATGTATTTCATTATTTTTCTAGAAACTTTGAAAGCTCAAGAAACAGTATTTTGGTGGAGTCAAGGCTGTTTTCAAAACGGTTATTAAAATGTAAGGCAAATGTCAAACTATATTTTTTCAGAGGTCGGCTTCCAAGGACTATCACAGTGGCCAAGGTATCGGAACTAAAGTTTATTCCGAAGATCGGCTCATTTTATACATAATTTTATAAATGCTTGCGCTCCTTGGATCTTGAATCTTGAACCTTGACCACCGATTAAGAACCTTACCTTAATTTAAGTCATTTGATAATTAATTAGAATAAGCTTTCCTTTTTTGTATGCATCAAATTTCATAATTACCTTCAAAATACTTTCAGAATCCCAAATCAACCATTAACCATCGATCATCAAACTACAAAGTCCAACGCTCATATAACTGAGTTTGTGGTGTATTGCAAATGCACAGGTTTTTGGTTTATTTTAATACCAGTAATATACACAATCGTATTTAGTTTGAAAGAATCATGCCCAACTCTTGATTTTCGTTCAGAACTGGGCCGATTTGTTCATGAATTGACTCGGCGGATATGCGTATTTGACTGGGTGATTGAATTGTGAATTGATCTAATGATTTGTACATTAAGTTAGTAGCCTACTCAATCAACATAATAACAAAGGTTAGGGCTCTAGTATCCGCAGAAACTGCGGTTACTAAAATATATACACGCTTCTGTACAACGGATCGTCGAGATCTATTGCATGGCTAGTTAGTTTTGGGGCTCTAGTCGCCCATGTAGACAAACTCCTCGTCCTGGACGTCGTCAGTCTGGCGCACGGCCATAGCAGTCTCCACTAGATAATAGAGACACTTGTACTGGTCACGCTCCTCTCGACTGGAGGCTGTAAGGGAATATTATAAAGATTCAGTAAACTGATGGATAAATATAGTTTACTTACTTTGTGATGGCGGCGGCGAAGTCTGATTCTGCACAGCTTCCGCCTCGGTGCTGGCAAACACATCGTCAGCCTGCAGATTATCACCAATTTCCTGTTGATTGGAGCTAGTCGGCAACATGGTCTCAAAATCCGAGGGCTGCTCCAGCTCATTACTTGGAGCTGCCAATTGTTGTTGCGAAAATACCGCACCTTCACGCTTGACCATCTGCTGGTTAGAATTCCAAAAGGCGGCATTCTTAGCAGATCCCTTAGAGCCAGAAGTACTAGGATTGTTGCCAGCTGATGTGGTAACTTCCTCAGTGCTGAAAACGGTCCTGAAAAAGTAGAAGCCCAGATTAGAGGACCCTCTTAAGCAGTATCAGTAAACCCTCCAGAGCTACTCACTTCATCACGCTCTGCCAATCATCGGAAGTCTCGAAGCGCACCTCCTCCTCGCTGTGCTGCTCACAGGACTCGTATCCCTGGCCGCTCTCCTCGCCCTCGGACCTGAGGATAAAATGGAATTCTTAGCATCGCAGGACATGCTTGGAAATGGACTTAGGCAATAGATCAGTCAGTGGGTTTGGCAGTTGTACCTAGGGGCCACCACGAAGCTGCCAAATTCATCCTGATAGCAGATCACCGTCTCCTCCGCTTGATTCTCGGTCTGCGGCTTCGCTTGCTTGCTCTTCTCTCCCTGCCTTCCAGCGGACTGCCTCTTTCTTCCGCGCTTCGGCGGATTTGGTTTCTCCTCGTCATCGAATTCTGGCGGCAGTTGACCAAACAGGCCATACGGCAGTATGGAGGTAGCGGTATTGGAGCTGGAACTGGAGCTCCCAGCGGTGCTAGGTTTGGCCGAACCCCCGATGGCCGCCGCCTTCCGCATCTGGTAGTTCTGGATTTTATCTATCATGGTTGCTTGCAGCGAGGAGTGAAGACTTTGGAAGCCCATCGGATTATTTGCAATGGCCTGCTGCCAACTTGGTAGTTGAGGAATAGGTGGATGGGGGTAGGTGGGAAAGGCGGATGAGGTGACTACGACTAGAGATAAAAGATCAGAGCAACCGGTAGGTACCTGTAGATAACGCTGTCCTCGTACTCTGGCTCCATCTTGACCATTTGCCCGTTGGGGCCCTGCACATACTGTTCGAAGTTGGTCAGGACATTGGCGATGCCCTCGTGGACCTCCCCGGCGCCATCTACCTCTTCAGTGGCGCCAACGACCTGTAAATAAATTAAAAGGGTTTAACTTCAAGATATCCCAAACGAGAGAACCACCCACCACTTCGGATGCGGGACTACCATGTATAGGATTTGGGGTCCCAGCCAAGTTCAGGCCCAACGCTCCCGAGCTTGATCCCGAGGAGTTCGGGCTGACCTTCTTGCCACGTCGCGATATCGTGAAATGCAATGGATCGTTACCCTCGCGTCTAATCATCTCGGGCAGAATGCGGCGACGTGCATTGATAAACCAGTTGCACACCTGAAGCACCGTCAAATTCGCCTCCTGGGAGAGTGTAAACTTCTCTGCATCGCTGGGATACGCGTTGTAGCGGTGCTCGTAGAGCCAACGCTTCAAGATCTTAACCGAGTGCTTGGGTAGATTTCCACGGCGCTTGCGCAACGATCCATTGATGTCGATGTGATGGTCCGTGTCCACCATCATGTCATGGTAGTTTTGCACCTGGCTGCCATCGACACCGCCCTGTTCGTGGGTCAGGTCCTCCTCGACGATGCCATCGGCGGACAGGGTGTCACATATGACGGCCATGGAGTCGTCGGCGTGAAGGGAATCCTGATCTAAGCTGGAGTCGGAATGAAAGCGGTCGCGACCTGCAGCTAATGTGGATTTAGACAGGATTCTACTTGGGCAAACCCTTCAAAAATGCCGACTCACCTTCGCTCTCTAGCAAGCTCGCCTGCACATGAGCCTCGTGCATCATGTCCTGGATATTCTGGCGCACATGGCGATCCAGGACCATATTGACCTCTTCTTGTTCCGGCGAGATCATTGCAGCTTATGCTGAAAAAACTAGAAAATCATCCTTGTAAATAAGAGATTTTAATCAGTTCTGTATAGTTTTCGTGTGCTCGTGCTCGAAAACAATATAACCATTGAAACCTTTTCAATGGTTACATTGTTTTCTTCTTTTTTGAAAAGGATGATTACAAGATTTTGTAGTTTTGTGAAAAATTTGACTTATTACAATCTTTTTTTTTGGTAGAAAACTTTTCGTGTTGTCACCACAGACTTTGAGATTAAACTAACTTTTCTGGAAGGCAGGCAAATCCTTCAGACACCAAAGTCATGGCCATCTAGGGTTCGAAAACATTTCTTTTAAATTTGATTTTAAATCGGTTCTTTCCTTATTGGCCTACTTATATGTAAACTTGGATTTTGCGGAAAAATTGAATATAATATTTTCAGTATATATATATTATAACACATAAACAGGCCTAATAACGTAAATAATAATTTGTTGAAAATTTAAATTTAAAATAAGTTGGTTCGCTATCGATTAACTATCGCACAGGTATCGTTTTTGCACACAAGAGACCGTGACATATAACATGTCAAATTGACACTTTAGCCAAAATATTTTGACAAATTCACTGGGCGCGTAAATAACGGGCATCTTAAGCACACGGGGATTCACCTGCAGTAATTGAACATTTGCCACTGGCATTGAATTGCACTTAACACTTAATTTTCAAGAGTTTTAGCCCTCGGCACCCCGATCCAGATGAGGATTGGGATGCTGGCGACGGGGCAGGTCGTCACAACCGGAGGCTTTTAGACATTTCGACGGCAACTTTTCGCAAACTGCGAGGACTAAATTGGGCCGTGTGAGTGTTAATTTCCACACGGTTTTCCAAAACTTTTCTTCGTTTTTCCTCAGCGTGCCAAACAACAACAATACTAGCGACGAAAAAACTTCGATAGGCGCTGAGGTGCGATAAGTCAGTGATGGGAGTCCATTAATGTCGTGGAACCAGTTCCGAAAGTAGCCACCGTACAAATTCAAATATTTGCGCGAATAATATAATTGAGGCCGTCATAATTTAGGCTAAATACATTTATATTAATATTTTGTACTTTGGTAATAAATCGAATACGTTCATGACGCTTTTGAAATGTTTTTATTTATACAACTATTTTATTAGAAGAGGTAGCAAGAGGTTAAGTTGACAGTAGACTCCAGTTTCGTTAGACGGTGGAGTTGCACCCATTCTCAATACAAAACATTACAATATACACGTTCAAAAATTAAACTAGTTTTTAAAATTCTAAAACTACAGCCAGTAATTGCAGTAAAAAAAATGAGTTACTAAACTCTTCATTAAACCAGGATTACCGATAAGGAACCGAAATAATCTCGCATATTTCTGCTGCCGTATCACATTTGGTTATCGCCACAGCATTCAAGAAAAGCTTACGGAATTATGCTCAACAAACCAGTTTTGCGTCGCTATCAGCCAAGGAAGGATTGGTTCCATTATTTCTTTTAAAAGACTTCAAATACCCGAGTCCTGTTAAATTTTTTGAAAATTTGCTTTTGGAGCCTTACAGCGCAATATACTTTGGTAAATTGGTATACATAGTAGATACTATAAGTTATAAATTATCTTACAATAAAATAATTCCTATCACTTTCGAAAAAAAATCTCAAATAAGTCTAATCGAAGAACATTTGAAAAAAAATTAATTATAATTCTTAAACTTGAATTTATAAATAAAAATTATAACTATTTTTTTTTTGATTAAAGTCAATATTATTATGGTTAGGTTCCCTCTTTTCAAAGCTACCAATAAAACTTAACACAAGTTCTTGTAAAAATCCGAATGCTGATAACAAAAAAATTTTAAAGTTGTGAGTCATAAAATAAATTCCTATACCCTTTGAAACCATATAATTTAAATTATGACTGTTTATTCGGAAGATTGCAACTGCCCGTTTTCTGTATACACTCGTTATACAATGAGTATTATTACTTCGCATTCAATAACTGAATTATTTTTAAGGTTTTTTTTTTTAATAAATGTTGTCATATTTTCTTGAACTCAAGTTCTGTAGGCTTTTCTGTTAAAAACGGATTTATTACAAATGTTTTATTTACCCAAATTCTTCTTTATAGTCGAAAATATATGTTCTCTGATTCCGCAAAAATGTCGAAAGCCATTTTTTGGTTGCAGTTAAGAACTTTTGGCTTGGTTGTCGGTTGGTTGGAAGTGACTTTCTTCATCACGTCAACGATTTATTGGGGCACAATATCATTACTCGAACGTTATGAACGACATGAAAAGAGTGAAACTGGTAAGATATGATCGATTATATAGTTAATGTGACAGGACATTAAACTGGTTTTTCAGGACACGCCATACGTAATAGTTTTTACCTCGCGTTTAATATAAGTCATTTACTGACCTCATCTCTGCTGATTCTTGGTACCATTAAGGTAAGTGAAGAATTCATTTCCGAAGCCGCGTATTTCTACCCAAGTCATAGCACAATGGTAATCAGAAATAAGAAACTGTTGTACTTATGTTTATTTTTTTTAGGAACGCCATCTACTTCTGTTTCCCTGGCTAATCAACAGAGGATTAGTCCTTTTCGGAAGCGCATTTTTGACAAACTATTATATGAAAGCAAATGATAGTCTCTCCAACCTGCAATGCCTGGTCTTTATCTGTGAGTTTTTCTCCCAGACTTATTTATTTTTTAAATGTACATAATATAAATTTCTTCTTCTGCCAATTTCAGCATTCAACTGTTTTCTCATCTCTGGGATCTACTCGCTTTTAAATGATATTAAGAAATCTAATGAACTTGAACTTCAGCGGCTTCGTTTGGATACGCCAGATAACATCGAGGACAAATCTCTTTTGACCAAGTTAGACTGGAATTCTTATGTATATCATATATATATACATATCTTTGTATGATGTGAACTTTCCCGATAATGAAGATACTGATAATTTATTGAAAAGATCATAATTACTTTTATGTTGTTAAAAAACATCCCCATTATTAATTTTAAACTTTTTCGACATTGAATGTGCTGGAAAATAAAGACAAATGGTTTCAGACAGTGGTTCACAGAAAATACGTGGGTCCCCCAAGAGACTTGAAAATTGTTCTATCCATTCATTGTTAAAGAAATAAACTGATATTTGTATGTTGATTGACAATTTTCAGTGGCGGTTGTGGAACTTGCGCTCTCGTAAAAAATATAATTATGAAGTCAAAGTTTTAAGAATCTAAGGGAGAAAGTGGGGCTAACCCTCTAAGCTTCGGTCTAGGTTGGTTATATTAAACAAGGCATATGTTCTGCATTCATAAACTATTCATTAAATGAAAAATGTTTCAAAATGTTGTTCATTTCTATCATCATTAAAAATCGTACTTAATTCCCTAAACTGTTGAATTTCTAAATTTTTGAACAACCCTAAATGGTTCCTCTTGAATTCTAACCATTTTTTCGGAAGTAAAATCATGTAATATTTTTTTATTATAAGTAAATGTCTAATTTTATTAACAGGTAATCAAAAATATATGTTAGTCCATACTTTTCTTCTGATAGAAGAATTCTTATCTATGAAAAGAAAAACTACCCAATTTTATTAATTAAATAATTTGAAAAGTTTTTGGGAGCGGGATGGCATTTTTCCAGATTCCACCAGCGGTCACACAAAAAATATTATAGTTTGTTTTGTTTTGATGCAACTTTGTAATGGATTGCGTTCTGGATGAAGAGCTGCTGGCCAATATAAAGTGCACTGACCAGGAGGATGGAGACGAGATTGACGAGAAGATGCAGGTGGAGGAGCAGCTACCGCCGCCCGATGCCTCAGCTCAAAGTGCCTGCTTCAACGGAGAGGACTCAGATCCGCTTCAGGAATCCGCGACCACTTGCAATTTTCCCTGGATCTTTGAGGACGCCGATGTGCTGATAACCGAGGACCATCTGGCGGACATGGTGCTGAAAAGGGAGGAGTCTCTCCGGCCAGCTGTTCCGAAGCGGGGCCGTGGACGTCCAGCCTTAAATTCCGGGCACTACACCTCCTCCTGTGGCCAGCTTTGGAGCGTGACAAGGGATTCAGAGGTTTCTGGAGAGGATCTCCCGCTCTTGGGTCAACAGGCATGCGGAAAGGGACCCGCCCGCACGGTTTCCAATGCAGTCGAGGCCTGGATGCTGCTCTTCGACGACGAAATGCTGAGGTCTTTGCTCCGCCATGTCAACGAACAGGTGCGCAAGCGCAGAACTGCCACAACTGTCCCACGACCCCTGGACATTGTGGAGCTACGGGCATTCTTGGGCTTGAGCTACCTCAGTGGGGTATTCCGGAATGCCCGGTACAGTGGGCCTCTGGAGGAGCTTTGGACCTTGGAGCTGGGCAATGCCATATTTCGGGCATCCATGACACTCTCTCGGTTCGAGAGCATTTCCGAGTGTCTGGCGGGGAATTGCGGCTGGTCCGAGGGCCAGAAGCTATGGCAGCGGCTACTTATCAACTGTCGATCGTACTACGGCTGCAGCAGTTGGTTGGCAGTGGATGAAACGTCCTGCTCGGTGGCCAAGTCGCGCATGACCCTCTGCTGTGATGCCAGAACCTTGTACATGGCCAATGCCGTGGTCAGCAGGAACCAGAGGTGCCCGGACAAGGATGTGGAGCAACTGATCTGCGATTTCAAGACGACGGGAAGGAATGTGACACTGGGAGCACGACATCTCAACGTGGCGCAGTGCGAGCAGCTGATGAAGCGCCAAATCAGCTCTCTAGGAATGTTGGATGCCAGCTCGCCAGATTGGCCGCGTCAGTGGCACACAGAATCACCACTGTACAGTGGCGCCTTAAAGCTGATTCCCCTCGACGGCGAGGCGGTGTTCTGCTGCGGTCTCAGCTCCCAAGTGGACGCTCTCCAGGTTTATCAGCAAACCTCGCATGCCTGTCAGCAGTTCCATGATTTGTCGCAGCGTTTCAGCACGGCACACGCCACACCCGCTGCACTTAGGAAGCAGGCTAATCCCTTCCTGCAACTACTCCACTTTGTGCTCAATGCAGTGGCTGTAAATGCCTGGATTCTGCTACGACTTTCGCCCAAAGGCGACGCGGCGATGGAGCAGCGCGACTTCCAACGGCAGTTGGGACTCTTTCTCACCCAGCAGAGATTGCAGCGACGCCTTCAGCGCAGATCCACCAGCACTTCGCTCGTGATGCGTCTGCAGATCTGCGAGATTCTGGGCCAATCCAGTCAGCGGCTGCTCAGCGAGGCGACCGGTGAAGCTAAACTAACGCACAGCGTGGGCGTCCTGACGCCAGACAAAATGAGTTTGCCGCTGGGCGTCAACTTGGCCAGTCGCTATGGCGAAAAGCATCGCAGGTGCAAGCCCTGCGCTAGGAACAAACGCGGCACAAAATCCCGAACGCGGTGCCAACAGTGTTTGCAACATCGATGCGGCAACCACCTGATATCTCGCTGCTACGAGTGCGTCGGCATTCTGACAGGCCAGCTGCCCGAGGGCAACATGCGGGACGAAGGCGGCACTTGAACATGGACATTAAATAACATTTATTAAAGAGGCGCTAGTTTTCTTGGGGAGGGGCTTAAATGGGGGAATGGCTTGCAATATTGCTCAATGGTGCAAAGACATTCTTGTGCTAAAACTACGATGACAACGGCTTAACGTTCGCAACTCGGAACTAGAACTTGTACTGGAAGGACTTGGGTGCCTTGTACTTGCTGGCCACGCCCGAAGAGTCCAACGGATCGCTCTGGTCGAGGAACAGACTGAGGAACTGTTCGTTCTGCAACTCATTTAGCGGCATCTCCAACTCACTGCAGGATTTGACAATCTCGGCGCAGGCACGCAGATCCTTGCGCATGTCTAAAAGGGAATGGGAGTTATTCACTTTCTGGCTGGGATTTAAAGACTCACATTGATAGTTGAAGAGCAGGCTGAGGCAGCTTGAGCAGGCTGAACGCTGCTGGTGCTGCAGAAAAACCTCGATAAGACGATGCACGGCATCTACATTGTTGCGACCTAGGAATGAAGAGCATAGGGGACTGGCTCTGAAAAGGAGAAGAAAAGGATTAAGTCTATGGACTAAGGACTTCAATCTTCTCACCTCCGCTCCACCAGTTCCTGCAGCTCCTTGTAATGTTCGAACAGTTCGCCCGCTGATTTTTGGTCGCAGAACCAATCGCTTGCGAAGCACTGCTTCCATACACAGGCCACCACAAAGATGTCCTTGTGCTCGCTGTGAATGGCACGTGCCACCTCGAGCAGCGAAACCAGCACAGCCTCACTTTTTTGGGCCAGCGTCTCCTCGGAAATGGTACGAAAAGCTGTTCGCGCCATCCGCCTGCCCTCCTCCGAAGTCATGCTCACCCCATAGCCCCGATGCAGGGTCATTAGGGCAACGTCCGCGTTGCCATTGTTCCACAGAGCGATGGCCCGGAAAGGAGCCAAGTCCGCGTAGGTCTGTGAGAAGGGGTGCTTCAGCTGCCGGCAGGTGTCCGCCAGTGCCTCCAACTGCTGGAGCTTGCGCTGGGCACTCAAATACTTGAGGCAGGACACAAACACCTCGTTGGATGGCAGCAAGTTGCAGCGGATGCACTGGCGGATCAGGTAGAGAAAGTCCAACTTGTTTTTGATTTCCAGCGTGGCCATCAGCAGGTTGTCCAGTTGCGCCTGCGACAGAGATCTTATGTCCAGTCCCAGTTGGGGTGAGCGCAGAGCCTTTAGGTCGCTCATCATACCCTTGGACATCAGGCCCACATTCTGGCTGAAGCTAGTGGATGTGCTGCCCACCTTGCCCTCCGTTGCCACATTACTGTTGGTATCCGTCTCCTGATTTCCGGGCGTTGGCCTGTTCATCAGGCTGTCGCGCAGCTCCTCCCACTTTTGGGTCTTCCTGGTGACCAGGTCGTTGGTGAAGCAGTCGATGGCATCGAGCTGCGTGGACTTCCGCCGCTGGCGCTGCGTTCCCGGCCACAAGAAGGCGGAAATGTAGTTCTGGAACCGCTGCAGACCCTTGGGGGATCCGGGGGCTCCTGCCACCGTGGTGGTGCCGCTGCTGGTCAAGCGGGTCAGCATTGCCATGGTTTAGGGGTCACCTCCGAGTCCTCCGCTTCTCTAGACACGCCTCCTTCGCGACGCTTTTCGTTCGGGTTGTATAATTACAATTGTGTATTGTATTTTTTTGTTTTGGTTGTCTTCACAGTGTGACCGTCGCTCGTCCGTAAAATTGCGTATACTTATAACCTCTTCACACAGCACCTTGAAAAATAAATCATCTGATTAAACTAAGGAAAAGTAAAAAAGGTAATTAACTAATAAAAATAAAAATATGAGGGATTGTACCAGATCTCTCACAAATAATAACCAAAAACCTATTTAATAGCACCTTGCTCAGGCTACAAAAGGGGGAAAAAAAACAAATGAAAATAGTTACAACTTTCATTCAGCAAGTATGTCTTCCAGTAAAAAAAAAGAACTCCAAAACACTTTCAAAAAGATTGTGCTTTATTAGTGCAAGCTTGCTACCTTTTGCTTAAATCATAGAGTTCTTAAGCTACATATAAAGATCGTATATCGATAATCCGTAAGTCCAGTATCAGCACACCAGTCGGTAAGAGATGTACCTTCCTGCCGTCTCCGAGGAACGAATGATCTTGACCACCTGACCGCGCTTGAGTCCAAAGTATCTCGCCACCGGATCGCCCGCCTGGATCCGCATCAACATGTTCTCCTTGAGTTTGTAACGACTGAGCAGCTCCTGCTTCTCCTCGACGGTCATGACCACGTGCTCGGGGACCAGTTCGTGCTCCGTGATGTTGATCAGCAGCTCGGATTCGAGGAACTGCTCCAGAATGTACTTGGGTGCCATGTCCACGAGGGATTGTTTCGCAGAGGGCGTCATGCCGCCCTGAACCACAACGATGGCCCGGTGGATGTTCTCCTCCTGCATGCGAGTGCAGTACGTTTTGATGGTCTTGATGCCGATCTTGGGCTCCTCCGGGAAGAAGACGAACATCTGATCCGTAGGATCGTCGTTGTGGG